CAAAGAAATAAAAATGATAAACAAACAGCATTTTTTTTCAAATTTTTAATGCATAAACTACTTTTCTCTTTAACATATCGTTCAATATTACTGTTTAAAATAGTTCTTAAAGTTATTTTGTTTTAGTTCAATCAGATACTTTGCAAGAATGGGATTATTTGTAAAAAATTGATATTTCGGATCGTGAAAGATTGGATACAACATTTTGATGATCGTGAAAAGGATGGTGAAAGATCTGTTGCCGCTTATTCGTCATTGCAAACATCCACGAAAACGATCAAATCTTTCTTTAAACACATGATGAGTTATATTTGTAATTGGTTTAAAAAAAGATTGAATCTGCATGACTTATTCCGCTTCACCTTTGTTTATGAATAAGGCTTTGATGGTTCATGAATGATATTAAATCTGATTATTTGATAATACCCCACCGGCAAGTTGACCTACAACAATATACGTCCGTCTGTCCGCCCCGAATAAGTTATATGTCGTATGAAAAGTTAAGATTGTCTCATGTAATTTCCATTAATTTTTATGTTATATCTATAAAACGAAGATCCTTGATAATTTTAGTGAAAATTGGGAAAACACTGTTTAAAAAACCACAAGATTACAACAGTTATATTCCTGACTTGGCACAGGCTTTTTTGTAAGAAAATGGTGGGTTAAACCTGGTTTTCTAGCTAGCAGAATTGGGCGAGCAACACAAACAGATATTATTGGTTAACATGGCCATAACTGGGATCGGGCAGCAAAAACATGTGTAAACATATATACATCATTGACATACAACACGACTAAATTAAACGTTCAAACTTATTCAAACAAAGACGCCAGCAAAAAGGTTGTGGTACAAATGTAGTTGATAATACAGTCAGTATAGTAATTTTCAGCATTATGACATACACTTTCCCGATAAAATACAAAATAAGTAAAATATAAATATAAGGGTATACAAAATGAAAACACCACTATAAAAACCTCATGTGTCCGATTTGCATCTCTGAACCCTCCCAAATAAGGAACGCCAAAAGCCAAAAACCCAAAAGCTGTATGCACATATACCGAACCACGTCATAAAATACAAAATATGTAAAATAAAAATACAAGGGTATACAAAATGAAAACAACACTATAAAGACCTCATGTGTCCGAATCGGAACTCTGGACCCACCCGCATAAGTAACGCAAAAAGCCAAAAACCCGAAAGCTGGATGCACATATACTGAACCACGTCATAAGATACAAAATAAGTAAAATATAAATACAAGGGTATACAAAATGAAAACAACACTATAAAAACCTAATGTGTCCGAATCGCATCTCTGGACCCACCCGCATGAGGAACGCCAAAAGCCAAACACCCGTAAACTGGATGCACAGATAACGACCCAATGGAACACAGTAGTACAAAGATAGAAAAGGGTAAAACTGTAAAGCAGATAAAATTCTACACAGAGTCAGCACCTAGAATATATAACTCAAGACCATGCTGTGTAATTTGTTAAGTAGACACTGAATATTTATCGATTATATCTTGGTACTCTCCAATGATTTTTTGAGAAAAAGGACGAGACATTCTGTCTCAAAACTTTGCTCAGACATTGATGACGTTTTACAAAGTCTGAGTAGAAGCTGCCAGATCCTGAAAATTGAGTTGAAAAAAAAAATTAAGAATGGAAACGGGGAATGCGTCAAAGAGACAACAACCCGACCAAAGAACAGCACAAGGCCACCAATGGGTTTTCAAAACAGCGAGAAAATCCCGCACCCGGATGCAGACTTAAGCTGATGAAGTTGGTAAATTGCTGCTAAGGCGTGGAAAATTTATAATTTCAAAATTGAAATTATCTGGTTTGTCATAGATTCTGGTATTGAGATGACCGCTGTAGTCAAATTTGGGGTATATGTCTGAAAATGAGCATGGAGAAGCTGTATATGTAGTATCTGTAATCTCTAGTTCGGGACCACCTCGGTGGTCTCGTGGTAGCTATTCGCCTTGAATGCGGGAGGTTGTGGGTTCGAACCCCGGTCGGGTCAAACCAAAGACTTTAGAATTGGTATTTGCTGCTTCTCCGCTAAGCACGCGGCATTTAGAAGTAAGAGCTAAGACTGGTCGACTCGGAGTTAGAATAATTTGTCCGGATAAGGTGACATGTCTTCCTGCGGACTGCTACCTTGTGAACTAGCACGTTAAAAATCCGGCTCAGCGTGTCAGTCTAGTACAAAGCAGGGTTAATATTTATATTACATTAACATGTTCCCGTCCTGAATATGCATAATAATTTGCCGCTGGACGTTAAGCAGCCATCCATCCATCCATCTAGTTCGGGACAATTAATGGGACCCAATCAGAAAAGTTTGTTTCATTAATGGAAAGAACATCTCCAATTCACCTGTATGTAAAATTAAATAAAAAAGCGCCTTTGTTCTTGCTTCACTCATTCGTGGATCATTTAGCATTATATACAAATATATTTACGCTCCTGACAGACACATTTCGTTTTTCTGATTTGTTCCACCATTTAAAAATACAGTAGATTTTTCACAGATTTTGAAGTAGAATTACCCTTAATTGCATTCACGATCCGATACCAGATCTTTCACGATTCATGACCATTAGTTCTTCTTTCGCGATAATTTTTCTCGATATACCTAGTGACACCCGTGTACTCATCGGAAAATCTACACGCTGGAATAAAAGTACGCTTACAGATGCTGATAAAAAATTAGGAAACAATATATATATACACAATCTAAAGATCTTTCAGGTCACGAATTTTCGGAGTGTTCCACATAGTCCTTTGCATATAATTTCCCCAAAATATATCCATTTTTTAACATCTGAGTTTTCGAATACACCGGTCGGCTCTTGTCATGTGAATTTTCGATATAGAATATTGTCTGTTCGTGAACATAACTATTTAAAAGTTGTGTCTGTCCAGGTTCAACAATTAAAGACAAATATTTTTACAAAGTAGGTATCCGTGTAAAGAGAGTTACAATTTTCTGTACACTTTTAAGAAAGGGTCGTCTCGATTTCTGTACTTGTATTTGCAGTCTTCTCGATCAATTCATATTCAGTGGTACATCGGGACAAGGTCCGTTTGAATTTGCTTAGTAACTTCGTTTCAAAAGTGTTAATCTTTGCTGCATATCAATCGTTCCTTTGGAATTCTTTCACCTTGATGCATACATGTACGGATAAATGGCACAGGAACCTGATATGCATATAGTCAGTAGAAAAATAAATTGAAGTTGGTACTTCGAGAATTTACATGTTTTCGCATAGCAACATTTTAAACAAATTTTACACAAAGACTGCTGAAATCGTCGTTTGCCATTTTAGAAGGAAAATATTAACATTATAGTATGGAAATTTTATTTTTATTTAAATTTATTTTTATAAGAACTATTTACCAGAAAGTTAGTTGTGAAATTATTATTAATAGTGTCCTTGTACAAACGGAACATGGAAAATATCAAGTTTTCAGTGTTTAAAGGAGAGGTAATATGTTTACACTAGAGTTTCCACTGTATCAGCTGTTTGCTATGTTGAAATACCACTGTTTGTGGACAACTTTTAAAACTTTAATACTGTAATGCCCTTTACAACCTCCTCATCCAACCTTTCCCCAACCGTAATCGTATTGTGAAACACTCATTTCATGATATTATGGTTTTCCATATTTGATATTTAAGATGAACACAAAGAATGGTCTTTCCTCTGAACTGAATATTTTAATATATTCATAAATATTATAACATGATTTCGATAAATAAAAAAAAAGAAACACTGGTGTAGAATTAATTTTATCATAATATGTTGTTTTTGTTGTTTTTGTTGATTTTTTTATGAATTATTATTACAGATATATTGTCTAGATTGCATATATTATCCGCAAATGTTTAAAATGATATTATTTATCTATTATGTGCCCTACTGGGACCATAATTTGGTAAATGAAAATATTCTATTCTATTTTATTCATAGGCATTTATATGAATGTGAAGCTACATACTTAGTTTTCCTTGTTCAACTATATTATATTATACCAAAATGGAGGGTGACACCAGTGAATCAGGATCTGCTTACAGTTCCAGACCACTTGAGATCACCCCAGTTTTTCGTCTGCTCAGTCTAGTTTTCTCTGTAGTGTTTTGTGGACTTAATTGTCTTATCGTAGTCGTTCGGTTTTTGCCATGCCATTGTCAGTTTCTCTTCTTTTTGTGAGTTTTGGATGTCACCTTCCTACCTTCCGTCTCTTTTTTTATTTAAAGTATAGGTCAATGTGAAATAAGGTAAAAATTGAAAGTTAAAAAAGATAAATTCAAACTGATTAATCTTAATCTATCAGTATTTATTTAATCCTATCATCAAATACAAGTTGCTGTTAAGAGATGTTTGTGTTGTTGTGTTAGGAAAATAGTAAATGACCGACGTCTTACATACAGGGCAATATGTACTGATCTTTTTTTCAGAAGCAACATTTTACAGTCAATACGTTAAATAACATTATTGTATACAGTATATCATAAAGTAGATAAGGCTTATATACATGCATGTGATCAATGTAAATCTATAGATAACACCTTTTTAAAAGTTTGCATAGGTATAACGTATCTATTTATTTCAAAACATGTCTGTCTGTAAGCTTTTAATGACCTTGCTGTTTACCGCTGTATATAAATAACGACCGAATCGTTCATGTAAATATGAAATATAAGGTTATGTGTGGTTTTATAATGACCAGTGGGAAATATTTCATAGGTAGTCAAGTTCAACAAATTCATTTATCTTGTCCAGAATGTAAGTGAGCTTGGAAGAATTTTTACTGCAACCGAAAAGATAAGGAAATGAGTCCATCGTTTTGTATAGCAGTCGCGCTATGCCCTTGTGTTACATATAAATATGTTGTTTTTTTTAATGTAGGAAACGTCAAATGATTACGTTAATAATGGTTAGGCTTTCAATATAATAAACATACTCACTCAAAAGAGAAGGTAAATAAACTTTAACATAATTCGATAAAAAAGAAAGTCTTGACAAAATTAGATATATACTGCAAGTTTAAAAGTTTACCATTTTTTACCGAGTAAATTCTAATGCTTGTTTTTATCATGAAACCGTCTCTTTTCTCTTTTTCCACTTCTCCGATCTGGTTTTTGATGACGTTTTGAAATCGTTTCCATCGAATGGTCATGTGAATTGAAAGAACCCTGTTCCTCTTCACTGGATGCAGATTTTTCGTCTCCTTCAAAAATATGAAGTATACCGTCCTCATTTTCAAACAAAGCTTCCAGCGCGAAACCAGCTGCTTCGTTTTGGTTAGATTTATAGGATGTACGGTCAGGATTTGTTCCTCCCTTTGATTTTTTTTCCGTTCGTATTGTGTCTTTATTTTCGGATCTGTTTTTTAAAGACCCTATTGCATTGAATCGCTGGGCAAGTTTATCCAGTTGTTTAATGATTTCTGTCTTAGAAATATCTTTCCACCCTTTAGATTGCTTTGTATTCAGGTCAAAAGAAATTTCCTTGTTCTTTACAAAGTTCATCAGTGACTGGTCCAGCACAAGTTCAAACATACTGTTATCGGTTTCATCACTTGCTGCAGCTTCTTCAAACGTTTTTCGCTGAGCATGTAGCGTTTTCTTAATTTTTTGCAGAGTGAGAAAGCCTTGCTTAGCATTTCCATGTTTTTTCACGGTGGTAAGAATTTTTTCGTTCTGCGAAATATTTTCATTGAATACAGAACATATGTCTATTTGTTCTTGTATTGGTTGAACTTTAGACAAACAGGTATTAGAAACATCGGTTTTTATTTCAAACTTAATCTTCTCTAGCTTGTTTATAGCTTCTTTGATACAGCATTCGGATTCTGAAATAATTCTTTCTTTTTCTGCACTAATTCTTTCTATCTGGTTCTCTTTCTTTTCTATCAATTCTGTCATTTGTCTTTTTATGCAATTAAGATCTCTGATCACTGCCACATCGATTTCATTTTCAACACACAACTCAACGACTTCCTCTATAGTTTTGATATTTAGACATTGGCGGTGATTCTCTGCCAAACAGATAATGCAACACACTTCAGAATGTTCTAAACAAAAAACTTCGTAAAACTTGTCTGCATGTTCATCACAAGGTTCGTTCATTTTATAGTCGGATAGTTCGGGAAGTTTTTGTCCTTCAGAAATTGTCACGACTTTGTGTGTTCCAGAATCTTTCAGACGGATGTGGAAACTCTTCAAACATTCCTTGCACAGCAACTCGTTACATTGCTGACACCAATTCATTGCCTTCACATCATCTCCAGCACGTGCACAAGGATCACAGCTGTATGTTACTTTATCCTTTGATTTTGAATCCATCATCAAAGAGAAGATACGATGATTGAAAGGTAGCTGACTTGCAAATTTTCCGACTGCCTTGTTATGATCTGGAACAGTGGCAGGCACTCTGCATACCGGACAAGTAAAAGATGTATTATTGTTGACCTTTTTTGACGTAGTTTCAATATATATTTGCAAACACGTCTCACAATATGTGTGCGAACATGGTAAACACCTTGGATTCTTAAACTCTTCCAAACATATTGAACAATCAAATAGCGTAGCTGTTTTCCTGGACATTTCTGAGTACTGCATTCGCCATTACCGAAGTACTTTCGCTTTGAATCAAGGGAGATTATTCAAAGGTACATGCATTGATCACTTACTAATACATGTAATATCACAGTAGCAAAACCAATGATGCGAGAACTAAAGAAAAGTCGCTAATTGATGATTAAGTCGAGAAATCAATAGTAAAACAATGCCGGTGACGATACTGATTACAATTTATTTCTGTTTATTGGAAATATACATGCAAATACATGTTTTATGTTCATTACAATATATCGAGATGATTGCATTAGAAGCTTGTGAAACTGATATTTAAAATTTTTATTCATTGCTGCATAGATTATAATTTCCAGAGGAACTATTGCACCATGTTACTTTTTCCATGCTTATTGTGAATTATCCTTTGTTTCGTCGTGTATTCAAAACCCTCTGAAAAGGTTTTATTAGGGGGGTATTTTAAATAAATGGGGAATGGGCTTTTTTGAAGGTTTAAAAAATATCAAAATCAGCATGTTAAATAAATGTTCATGTGAAAATTATAAACTTGATGACAAGAAATCACCTAGTGCATGGAAAATTCATTGAAAAATCTACAAGCCGGAATAAAAGTACGCTTACATATGTTCTGTTTTGCACTATTTCCAGAAAGACATTACTATTGTAAATCACGGCTGTCATTCGGTATAACAAGAAAAATAATCATGAAAGAATAAGTAACGGTGGTCAAGTATTGCGATGGGATCGTGAAAGATCTGGTAGAGGATTGTGAAGGAAATCTTATTGAGAAGACACATACAACGTCAGTAAATAATTTAATTCAATGAATTATAATGACAAATATTTGAAAAATAAAACTGTCTGTCAAAATGGATCAACATTATGATAACTATCCAAGAAAAATCAAGGTTTAAAAGTACACCGTGTTTACAAAACTACAAAAGGCAGATTGCACTTCGAAATTTCAAAGAAATAAAAATGTAAACAAACAGGAATTTTTTTTCAAATTTTTAATGCATAAACTACTTTTCTCTTAAACATATCGGTCAATACTACTGTTTAAAGTAGTTCTTAAAGTTATTTTGTGTTAGTTTAATCAGATACTTTGCAAGAATGGGATTGTTTGTAAAAATTGATATTTCGGATCGTGAAAGATTGGTACCGCATTTTGATCATCTTGAAACGGATCGTGAAAGATCTGTTGCCGCTTATTCGTTATTGCAAACTTTCACGAAAACGATCAAATCTTTCTTTAAACACACGATAATTTATTTTGTAATTGGTTAAACAAAAGGTTGGATCTGCATGACTTTTTCCTCTTCACTTTTGTTTTTGAATAAGGCAATGATGGTTCATGAATGCTATTGGATCTAATTATTTGATAATACCCCCAACAGGTAGTTGGCCTATAACAATATACGTCCGTCTGTCCGTCCTGAATAAGTTATATGTCGTATGAAAAGTTAAGTTTGTCTCATCTGATTTCCAGTTATTTTTATGCACAGTTATATCTATAAAACGAAGATCTTTGATGAGTTTTGTAAAAAATGGGAGAAAAAAACATTGTTTAACAAACCGCAGGAACACAACCGTTCTGACTTGGCACAGACTTTTTTGTAAGAAAATGGCGGGTTAAACCTGGTTTTTCTAGCTAGCTAAAATGTCCAATTGTATGACAATTGTTTAATGTGCCGTAATGTTGCCAAATTGGGCGAGCAACACAAACAGACATCATTGGTTAACGTGACCATAACTGGGATCCAGCAGCAAAAAACTGTGTAAACGTACACCACTGACATACAACACGACTTAATTAAACGTTCAAGCTTAAATCGAACAAAGACGCCAACAAAAAGGTTGTTGTAGTTGATAATATAGTCAGTATAGTAATTTAAACATTATGACATATACACCTTTCCGATAAAATACAAAATAAGTAAAATATAAATACAAGGGTATACAAAATGAAAACAACGCTATAAAAACCTCATGTGTCCGAATCGCATCTTTGGACCCACCCGCATAAGGAACGTCAAAAGCCAAAAACCCCAAAGCTGGATGCACATATATTGAACCACGTCAAGAGTCATACCACCCAATGGAACTCAATAGTAAAAAGGTAAATAAGGATAAAACTGTAAAGCAGATAAAATTGTATACAGAGTCAGTACCTAGAATATATAACTCACGACCATCCTGTATTATTTGTTAAGTAGACACTGAATATTTATCTATTAGGTCTTGGTACTTTCCAATGAAGTTTCTGAGAAAAAGGACGAGACGTTCTTTCACAAAACTCTTGCTCATTATTTTTTTGCTCAGACATTGATGACGTTTTACAAAGTCTGAGTAGAAGCTGCAAGCTTCTGAAAATTGTATGAGTTGAGAAATGTATACTCCATCCATGGATGAAGTTGGTAAATTACTGCTAAGGTGAGGAAAATTTATAATTTCAAAATTGAAATCATCTCGTTTGTCATAGACTCTGGTATTGAGATGAACGCTGTAGTCATATTCGGAGTATATGTCTAAAAATGAGCCTGGGGAAGCTGTATATGTGGTGTCTGTAATCTCTAGTTCGGGACTATTAATTGGACCCGATCAGAAAAGTTTGTATTATTAATGGAAAGAACATCTCCAATACACCTGTATGTAAAACTAACTGATATAGCGTCTTTGTTCTAACCCTTACGAAAACAAAAACGTACACATTAAGATATTTCCAGAGGAAGACCACCAGACCTCATTCGTGGATCATTTAGCATTATATACAAAGATATTTACTTTTCGACAATTTACGCTCCTGACAGACTAACTTTTATCCTGATTTGTTCCACCATTTGAAAATATCGTAGATTTTTTACAGATGTTTAAGTAGTATTACCCTTAATTGCATTCACGATCGGATACCAGATCTTTCGCGATCCGATCGCAATGCTTGACCACCGTTAGTTATTCCTTCACGATCATGTTACTCAATATACCGAGTGACACTCGTGTAAATGTACTCATTGGAAAATCTACACTCTGGAATAAAAGTACGCTTACATATATTAATGTAAAAATTAGGAAAAACTTGTGTACATACAAAATCTAAAGATCTTTCAGGTCATCAATTTTTTGGGGTGTTCCACATTGTCCTTAGCATATTACAATTTCCCCAAATATACCTATTTTTCACACCTAAGTTTTCAAATACACCGGTCGGCTCTTGTCACGTGAATTTTCGATAAAGAATACTAGTATTGTCTTTTCGTGAACATAACAATTTAAAAGTTGTGTCTGTGCAAGTTCAAAAATGAAAGACAAATATTTTTACAAAGTAGGTATACGTGTAAAGAGAGTTTCAATTTTCTGTACACTTTTAGGAAAGGGTCGTCTCGATTTCTGTACTTGTATTTGCAGTCTTCTCGATCAATTCATATTCAGTGGTACATCGGGACAAGGTCCGTTTGAATTTGCTTAGTAACTTCGTTTCAAAGGTGTTAATATTATAAAATGATTTCGATACTTTTTGGCCCATTTTTGTTTGAATCAAAAAAGCTTTCCTGGTATGGATCAATTTATTTTATTTAGGAAAAAAATCAGGTAAAGAAAAATATATACCAGCCAAATATTCAATATTTAAACTACACTGTTGTCAGATTATTATAGGATACTATGCTACATTGTGGGGGAAAAACCCAGCTTTATGTACATACAGATGATAAACTACGAACCTATGTAACATTCAAGCGTAATTTTTGTTTTGAAAATTATTTGTCAGTTAAACGAATTTTTTAGCAAACGAAATGTATTACTAGATTAAGAATGTCTGCTAACAAATTGCAATTTGAATCTGGCAAATCCAAAGTTACTTTACGACAAAACCAAATGTGTCCCAGGCGCACTTCAGGTGAGAATTTCCCCTTTTTGTATGGGATCTTTATGCTTACTGCAAGATGAGTCATAATATCAATTATTGAATGTGATTTGCAGTATACATCATTATTGAATTATGCATATTGTTTTTATACTGATATCTGTAAAGATTTCTCCATAAGACACCAACAATTTCTGTCCTCTGTTTATTTAAAAGTCAAAATAGACTTGCCTGGTGCACTTTGGTCTGTCAACATATTAATTTTATTATAATATGTTGCTTTTGTTGTTTGTTTCTTTTGTTATATTACAGATATGTTGTCTAGATTGCATATAGTATCTACAAATATTTAAAAAGATATTGTTCATCTATTATATGCCCTTCTGGGGTCATAATTTGGTAAATAAAAATATTCTTTTCTATTCTATTCTCAGCCATATACATGAATGTGAAGCTACACATCACCAGCCCAGTAGTCAGCACTTCTGTGTTGACATGAATTACCATTGACATGGTCATAATCATAAATTGACTGATTATAAAACTTTGAATTTTTCGAAATACTAAGGACTTTCTACCCCAGGAAAAGATTACCTTAGCTGTATTTGACAAAACCTTTCGGAATTTTGGGTCCTTATTGCTCTCCAACTTCGAACTTTATTTGACCATTTTAACGTTTTTGATTCGAGCATCACTGATGAGTCTTTTGTAGACAAAACGCGCATCTGGCGTATGAAATGTTAATGCTGATATCTATAATGAGTTTATCTACATACTTAGTTTTCTTTATTCCATTACATTATATTATACCAAAATGGGGGATGGCACCAGTGAATCAGGATCTGCTTACCCTTCCGAACCACCTGAGATCACCCCAGTTTTTCGTCTGCTCAGTCTAGTTTTCTCTGTAGTGTTTTGTGGACTTAATTGTCTTATCGTAGTCGTTCGGTTTTTGCCATGCCATTGTCAGTTTCTCTTCTTTTTGTGAGTTTTGGATGTCACCTTCCTACCTTCCGTCTCTTTTTTTATTTAAAGTATAGGTCAATGTGAAATAAGGTAAAAATTGAAAGTTAAAAAAGATAAATTCAAACTGATTAATCTTAATCTATCAGTATTTATTTAATCCTATCATCAAATACAAGTTGCTGTTAAGAGATGTTTGTGTTGTTGTGTTAGGAAAATAGTAAATGACCGACGTCTTACATACAGGGCAATATGTACTGATTTTTTTTTCAGAAACAACATTTTACAGTCAATACGCTAAATAACATTATTGTATACAGTATATCATAAAGTAGATAAGGCTTATATACATGCATGTGATCAATGTAAATCTATAGATAACACCTTTTTAAAAGTTTGCATAGGTATAACGTATCTATTTATTTCAAAACATGTCTGTCTGTAAGCTTTTGATGACCTTGCTGTTTACCGTTGTATATAAATAATGACCAAATCGTTCATGTTAATATGAAATATAAGGTTATGTGTAGTTTCATAATGTCCAGTAGGAAATATTTCATACGTAGTCAAGTTCAACAAATTCATTTATCTTGTCCAAAATGTAAGTGAGCTTGGAAGAATTTTTACTGCAACCGAAAAGATAAGAAATTGAGTTCATCTTTGTGTATAGCAGTCACGCTATGCCCTTCTGTTACATATATAAATGGTTTTTTTTTTTACATAGGAAACGTCATAAATGATTTCGTATATCATGATTAGGCTTTCAATATAATTACCATACTCAAAAGAGGAGGGAAATAAACTATTACATAATTCGATAAAAAAGAAAGTCTTGACAAAACTAGATATATACTGCAAGTTTAAAAGTTTACCGTTTTTTACCAAGTAAATTTTAATGCTTGTTTTTATCATGAAACCGTCTCTTTTCTTTCTTTCTTTCCACTTCACCGATCTAGTTTTTGATGACGTTTTGAAATCGTTTTTCATCGAATGGTGATGATGATGGATGGATGCTTAACGTCCAGCGGCAAATCAATATGCATATTCAGGACGAGAACATGTTAATGTAATATAAATATCAACCCTGCTTTGTACTAGACCGACACGCTGAGAAGGATTTTTAACGTGCTAGTTCACAAGGTAACATTCCGCAGCTTCAAAATCCAGGGCTTTTGATGCTCTGTTCCAGGCAAGCTTAGTAAATTGTAAATTGCTTTTGTCGACGTAATATTAAACATCACATCACACTTGCTGCAGTCATTGTCAGAAATATGCCAATACAGAAAGGTTCTGGGTCTCGTTAATTGTTCTTCAGTATGTTCGACATCCAAGGTGTTAGTAGCCGGTTGCGACAGCTTTGTGTGTTTCTAATATCTTGATCTCGACTCCTGTATTCGAGAAGGCTTTTTTATATCAATCTTCCGCCATATTGTCCGTTATTGCGATGACAAATTGCATAATATTGTTTCTGTCAGTTTAAATAGCTGCAAAATAATTAAAGAGATGAATTCGAATTCAAGATATCAAAATGCATTAAAACATTTGTTTTTATTATTACAGCAAATAAAAGATATAGGTAACATACACCAACGAGCTTCCTATTGGTACAAAACAGATATCTATAAGTCTACTTAATAGAACAAAAATAGACAAGACAATATGTCTAGCGCCAAAGATCGAATCTAAAAACTTTTAGAATAAATTTATCCGTGACTCAAATATCTGATATCAACACCAAATTCTCGTATGCACCACAGCTACTTGGGGACAGGACAATTTTATTTAAGCCCTACCCTTTTTTTTTTCCAAAAGTCCGTTTTTTTTCTTCTTTTAATTTCATTTTTTTTTTCACGCTTTTCTGTGTTAGACTTACATAGATGATATACTAGAAATAACATTTGTTTACTATTTATTATCAATATCCAGAGCGGTCACTGATAGTATATTTGATCATATTTACTTAAAAGAAAAACAAAGGATACGGGGTATCAATCCATGACACAAAATCAGCACATGCACAGTAAAAAACACACAAAACGCAAAGGAACAGCGCTTTTATTGCTGTTCTTCATCTCAAAGTCACAGTGAGGCCTTCAACACGGAGCACAAAAAAACTCTCACTTCACTGCAAGTGTAAGACGGTCCCTTGCACTGGTCTGAGCGGAATTCTTTGCAAAATAATTCGGATAGACTTTGTAAGATGTAACACCACCAAATCGGGCTCGATCAAAAAGAACATACTGGAAAGTAGTACATATATATAACAAAAAACTTCCTACGCATAGGTGTAAATATCAAACTATGTAGAATATATTTTAGTAATTTAGGTGTATAATGAAAGGTGAAGGACTGGTGATCCTTATAGAACACATTTTGACTGATAATTTTGAATAATGCAAAAATGTATGAATGAATTTCTAAATTGAGGGCATATACTGCCTGTTTCTCAGATATGAAGTACTTTCTTTGGTGTATCCAAAGTTCCGGTAACCAGTTCGGTCTGGTGTGTAAATAACGGTATATTGATCTTGCACCTATAAATGTTTGAAAGTAAAACAAAATAGATGGGAATGGGGGCCGACATACACTTGAAAACTTGCATGCATATACTAAAAAAATTAACAGAGTTCCAACGTCCCCCGCGTTGCACATTTTATCTGCCTAAGGGCAATAACCAATATGAAAAATTCTTTTTTTTTATTTTTAGACAAAATATCTTATAAGAAATGTAGGCATGAGATCGCTAACAATGTTTTTTCTCATATATTTCTATCTAGCTGTAAAAATAGTTTGTCGGCACTCTTCCAAGACCTTACTTATATCAGCCTTTGATATAAACTTCATGAATATTCGACAAGAAATGTAGGCGTGAGGGTGCTTAAAGTGCAATGTTCAATATAAATTGGACGTCAAGCAACCAACAATCAATCAATCAATATAAATTAAATTCAAAGAGACATTGCTCCTGTAAAAATTACAGATCAATGCTGATTTTCGAACTCACGCAAGATATTGCTGATATAAATTAAACCTATGATATACATTTCATATCAATCCTACCATAAATGTAGGTGTGAGAGTGCTTACAATGCTTACACAACCCGTTGTGTTGCTCGTGTTATTACAAACCCGGTGATAAGTCTAATTCGGAAGGTCACATTCGGGGAATAAGGGACGGGATTATAGTTACGACAATTGGAACATAAATAATGGTTTTCGATAAATCCGTCTTGGTTGTGTATTGATTTAAAGAATAGGCATGCATCGTACAGCTCCTCCCACCCCAAAAAATGATTATGCTATCCTTTAACGATGACAATATTTTTGAAACTCTTATTTCAAAAAAGGTGCGAAAAAAAATCATGAAATTTTATTAAAAAAAATCTATTATAACATAAAAGTTAAAACAATCCTTGAAATATATACATTTGTATTCTTAACATCATACTAAAGAAAAATACTTCCTACTTCTAAACATTCCAAAATTATGACATCTTAATTGCACATCGTTTGAGAACGCAAGGTAAACAGTTGATCATTCGGTTATATTTAGTATCTCCCTACTACATTTGGATCGGAGTTTCTGATAATAATTTTCTCATCTTTTACCACTAATTATACAAAAGCAAACACGAGTGTTTGTGAAACACTTGAAGAAATCACGTTCTACACAACGGATGCAGGAAGCAGACGATAGTTTCGAAATGTCGAGCCGCATTGTTCCAGTAAAGCGTTATGATTGGAATTTTTTCGACAAGCAAATGGATATGTTCCCATCTTTCAAAGATAATTTCGACAAAGATTTTTTCAGTGATGTCAAGTCCACAAGTATGGATGAAGAAATAGCAAGGATGAAACGGGAAATGTTTAACCTGACAACACCAGAGTCAAATTTGAAAGTAGAGCAACCTTTTGTTCAGGATTTTACTGGAGATAAGAAAATGGCTCTACGGTTTGATTGCAGTCAGTTTAATCCTGAGGAAATTCAAGTCAAAACCATGGACAAACAATTAACTGTACATGCCAAACATGAAGAAGTATCACCGGGAAGAAAAGTGTTCAGAGAATTCACCAAGTCGTACACTTTACCACAGGATGTTGATCCCTTGTCATTGAAGTCAAGTTTGACCAAAGACGGATTTTTACAGGTTGAAGCTCCTGCACCTAAAACATGTATTGCAAGGAAGGAAATCTTTATTCCAATTGAGAAAATGCTTAGGTAAATAATTCAAACTAATTGAGCCAGCAACATGCCGATTATATATAACATGCTGTATCGGAAACCACCAGTGAGAAACTATTTTGACCGTTTCAATGAGGCATTGCTATTTATGTACAATATCGGAGAAAAGTAATTTTGACCGTTTCAGTGATGCATTGCTATCTATGTACAATATCAGAGACTTTGGATACTGTGCTAAAAATGACAATTAATTCAGTATTTTTGCAGTTTTTAACAATTTTAACAATTTGTTTACATATAAGGTTTCGTAGTAGTAGCTTTATATATGTTATTGTACATGTTTTGGACTATCATTCCCAGATCAGTTTCTGTGACAAGACAATTATTTGAATTCAGTTGTAAGCAAATAAAAATGTATAAGCAATTATTCGTAAGTATTTTTTTAAAGAAAATAAAACAACATTTTCCTCCCATTTCGACACCAACACTACTTGATGTGTTGTGTAGTGCAATTTATGAATTAGAGTTCTTTTGAAAGTACTATGAACTATTATTGAGCAATTCAGTGGCCATCTTGAATTTCATAGTAGGTCATATTAAAATAAAATTATGAAATTGGCAATTTGAAGAATTCTGTACGTAAAGCTTCCATATTTTACAGTATTTTCTATTCATAATAATATATCAGTCATATTAGTCTATGAGCAACGAACACCAGACGTATTTTGAAAAGTGTGTAATTTCAAGCGCAAATTGATTTCTCAGTCAAATAAAAACCGATAATTTCACTTGTGAAATAAACGTGGTTATTTCACTGTCTGACGTCATACAACAATAGGCGTTGTCAAGACGTCGATAACGTCGGATCAAAACAAATTGTGAATGCGTAGAAAAAAGATATAGTTCCTTACATTTTCTACATTAATTTCATTAAAAAAAGCCATTTGCCAATGTAATAAAAAGAATAACTAATCAAAGAATTCAAATATCGAAAAATATTCAACTCGTGACCGAACAACACTGATAATTAACTCATGCGCTACGCGCATTCGTGAATTAATGTGTTGTTCGGTCACTCGTTGAATATTTTTCTCTATTTGAATTCTTCGATTAGTTATTCTATAATTAATCATACTGTAATTTTTACCAGTAATTAATTATTTTTAAAAGTAAGCAGTTGTCAGAAAATATTTCCTCCTATGTAGTAAGATGAGTTGGGATGAAATTTTTTAACCAAAACACAAAATCTTGAGATTATTCGCCACACAGTTATAGCAGTTCTACGAACTGACTTCAGGATAACGTATGACCGTCCAGTGTAAGTGGACTATTTACTGTAGAGGGTAATGCATTTGAAAACAAAAGACTGATTTAAGTGCAATCGTTCGTAAAGATTACAAACAACATCATGGTAGCATTACTAGTATTATACACACCTATCTAATGATTGTACAAATCTTCACGACTATTTAAAACGAAGACTGATGCACTTTGGTGTGCTACAATAGAAAAACAATCATATACAAAGTCATATTTGAAGACAGCAGTAAAATATAAATATATAACAAACAACCAATTTTTAAATTCATAGTTGAGAAATTAAGAAATTTAGTCAGCACTGTTATTGTGTAACATTAAAATAAGTCATTAGACTTTGCAGCTTTTCTTCATATGGGTTTTCCATATATTCAGGTATATATGATATATGATTGCTAATGAGACAACTCTCCACCACAGACAAAATGACATAGAAGTTAACAACTATAGGTCACCGTAAGGCCTTCAACAATGAGCAAAACCCATTCCGCATAGCCCCGAAATGACAAATGTAATAATATGTTAGAAAACCAAAACATGTTGAATACAAAGGCGGATTCAGGGGGGGGGGGGGGGGGGGGGGGGGGAATACCCGGTCCCCTCTTATGAAGCTACATACATGGTTACAAGTCTCACTCCTAACGTTGTTTTGTTGAGCCTCCCGCACCCCCAGATAATACTAACGAATGTTTATCTATGATATTCCCATAGAGCATAACATTGAACATATCGTTGTCAATCTAAATTATATTTGAAAACTAGTGGTTTACTTATAACTTCTTAAAAGAAAATATTTTCAGTTATGTGTAACGATGATATTAAAATATATTTGAATTTACATAAAACAAATAATAAAAAGTGTGCATTTTACGGCTTGTTAATCGCTGCACACCAACTCATCAATTTGTCAAAAACAATCCGAGGAAGAAGGCATAATAAGATGTCTGTGGTTTCAACAACGCAAATACAATAATCAAATGTCAGCAGGCCGGAAATATATTGGAAGATAATTATAAACTTTTGATGTACGTGGAATATGATTACAAACTTTTGATGCACGTGGAATATGTATATCTATTCTCAATAGTCTACAGTGCATCAAACGTAAAGAAAATATGCAGAGTTTACAATCTGGGTAATTCTTATTGTTTTAAGATAAAGTCACCCACTTGAAAAACAGAACAAAACAAAGTATCACCCACCTCATAGCCAAAAAATAATAAAATAACTGAACGTTAGATAAAGAAGTTTTGTTATTATGCCAAGTGCACTCGGTTGGTTGATTAATTGCTATGACAAAAACATACAAAAACACGAGCGTACCTTTGCTCCTGAACTTCCTCATTTTCTGCAAAACGACATTAATTGATACTTCTTACAAAAATTCTATATATCAATGTCTTGTCACATTGTATATGAAATTGACCTTGGGAATAAATTAGAAAGGGAAAGGAAAGATGCAGAATTGCGTAATTATTTACCAATTGGGGAAAATAAAAGATATAACGAGTTACAACCTAACGTCATGTATATAGTACTTGTATCATGGACCAAATTATAAAAGCACAGTCGAATAACAGTAAACAGCAATGCTTGTGCTGTGTGTTGTTTAACATCTCTAGTTAAACAATACCATCCTGATGTTCATGACATAATTATACAGAAAGTTTTGAAATGTCGGCATTTATGAATTTGAAACCTACAAATTTGTTTCAAAAGCTTTGTAAGTAACTAGTGTATGCGGAATTGCAAATGGATATCGAAAAAACGATGAATGCAAATTTTCCCCATTCCGAGTTTAAACAAATTGAATATCCTGCAGTTAGAAGTATAAATTTTTTTTGAATGCATGAATATATATAAAAAAAATCTTGAAAAATTTGACTTGAAGTTGTCTTTTCCTAAAAGCCTATCCACCAAATTTTATTAAAAAATAATATGTTGATGCCATTGAAATGTCCATATTTGCTTATCATTTTTGCGAAATTTACGTGTATTCAATGAGCCATGGGTTCCTAGTGGTAATGTTGAAGTTATCTGGGTACAGATACGCAATTCATTTCAGGTAGGCGGGGGTGGTACCCTTTTCCTCAAGTCATCTGCCTATATCGTAAACTTAGATATGTATGATGGCTCGTTTCGAGTCCAATATCACTGCACAGAGATATTTTGTTAACGCACTATTTTTGTGTTCCTCACTTTGAGGCGTATTAGGGATATTGACCCATCTATAAGGAAGTTTTACGGTCGCCAACATGAGTTGGTTGATTGTTATGGAATATTTATGTCACAGATGACCACGGATATGTTCCATTTGTCGAATACATTCTCCCAACCTTTTTTAATCGAGTATAACATCATTAAACGACGCTTAAGGTAGATCGGCTGGCTTCCGCAATCTTGGGTTGCAGTTTAGACAATATTGCACAATCTGCACTCTGAAAAAAGCTCCGTGATCATACTTCTTGATTATATTTTTTAAAAAGCATGATATAAACTACATTTTGGCAAATTAGAATAAAAATCTATCGATTTTAATATACGAATCTCCCTTTATTAAGGAAATGCCTGTACTAAGTCAGCTGTTTTCCATTCGTTTGATGTGTTTGAGCTTTTGATTTTGATTTTGCCATTTGATAAGGAAATTTCCTTGGAGTTCGGTATTTCTGTTATTTTACTTTTTCCTTAACACCGAATTTGTACCTACAGTGAGTAGAACGATGGATGCCACATGTAAAGCAGGATATGCGTACCCTTCATCGTCCTCGGTTTTGAGTGGTGTATGTGTTGCTCAGTCTTTAGGTTATGAGTGGTGTATGTGTTGCTCAGTCTTTAGGTTTTGAGTTGTGTATGTATTGCTCAGTCTTTAGGTTTTGAGTGGTGTATGTGTTGCTCAGTCTTTAGGTTTTGGGTGGTGTATGTGTTTCTCAGTCTTTAGGTTTTGAGTGGTGTATGTGTTGCTCAGTCTTTAGGTTATGAGTGGTGTATGTGTTGCTCAGTCTTTAGGTTTTGAGTGGTGTATGTGTTGCTCAGTCATTAGGTTTTGAGTGGTGTATGTGTTGCTCAGTCTTTAGGTTTTGAGTGGTGTATGTGTTGCTCAGTCTTTAGGTTTTGAGTGGTGTATGTGTTGCTCAGTCTTTAGGTTTTGAGTGGTGTATGTGTTGCTCAGTCTTTAGGTTTTGAGTGGTGTATGTGTTGCTCAGTCTTTAGGTTTTGAGTGGTGTATGTGTTGCTCAGTCTTTAGGTTTTGAGTGGTGTATGTGTTGCTCAGTCTTTAGGTTTTGAGTGGTGTATGTGTTGCTCAGTCTTTAGGTTTTGAGTGGTGTATGTGTTGCTCAGTCTTTAGGTTTTGAGTGGTGTATGTGTTGCTCAGTCTTTAGGTTATGAGTGGTGTATGTGTTGCTCAGTCTTTAGGTTTTGAGTGGTGTATGTGTTGCTCAGTCTTTAGGTTTTGAGTGGTGTATGTGTTGCTCAGTCTTTAGGTCTTGTAGTGTTTTGTGGACTGTTGCTTGTCTTTTCGTCGTTTTTTCCCATGATTTTGTCGGTCTCTCTTCAACGTTTTTTATTCCGCCTTTTTTTTTTTTACTTTTTTTTCCTAGATACATATATGTATATATTTTTTTTGTCGGCTCTAGTTGCATAAAAAAATTCATAAAATTTTGTGTGATCGTCAATTTAAGTGCATGTTACCATCGTCATTTTTGAAAAAAACGAGCACGATGAAGACTGATCAGCGATAGTCGACTATTGTGACGTCATGACATCACCAAATCAACCATCTACGTTACGGTTATTGTTTAGATAAATGGAGCCGTACGTACAATGATGGCAATGCAGAAAGCAGAGGCATTGCCGTTCCTAACAGTTGACGAGGCTATAAAAAGAAGTAAACATACATTAAGGTATCTTGAATATATCGTTTCAATGTTATTTGTTCAAGAAAAATATCCTGATGTCTTTCCAATCACATGTCATATACTTTTGTAAACTTTGTATGTGGTCAAAGATGAATAAATTAATTTCAACTAACCTTATTCTTAATAAAGAAACAGAAGATATCAAGAGGACATTCTTCAGCCAAACAATCAAAGATTGGAATAAATTACCACCTGAAATTTCAAATCAAACCTCTACAGACAACTTTAAGGATGCACTTACCCATGAAGTCCTCCTTAAAACATTCTCTCACCTGAACTAAATGTGCCTAATGTTTTTATCTTAATATGAAAAAAATATGTAAAAATGTAAAAATTAAAAGTTAAATAAAAATTGTAAAGATTATAAATAAAAGAAAAATTGTAATTAACTTTAAAGCATCCTCACTCAGGCATGCGCCGGAAAGTAATCTTCAAAATGTTGATGGTTTTTTGTACCTAAAGAAGAAGACATTCATAACTCATAAGTCGAAGAAAAACTGATAACGCCATTGCAAAACACGATAAACTACGAAAAGACAAACAAATCCTCCAAACATTACGTAGAAAAACTAAAGACTAAGCTAAAACTGTTTGAAAGCTGGGATACTATTCAGTCGAATACAAATATCGAAAAATAAAAATAAAAAAAAATTCTACTGCCCGATATCTTAGTCGTTTATTCCTGACCTGTTTTCTACGATTAGAAATGATTCCGCTAACACAGCCTGAGTAAATATGTTCGTCCTTAATTCAATATAAACGTATGTTAACGATTTTCGTAGCATGTCACGCGTTTCTGGGATAACCCTCACCTGGTACGCTCGAGACCAAGACTTTGGAAAGCCCAAAAAAAAAAAAGATCCAGAGCAAAATAAATAATAGGTCAAACAAAAAATGTACCCGGTAACGGTAACATTTCTAATGGAGAGTTTTCCTTTCAAGTCAATTCAGGTTTGAGGTTTGAGTTTTGATTTCCATTACATATTGTTTTTCTCTTTGCGTATGATATTAAGAATGTAGGACAGAAAGTCACAGGACAGAAAGTCACAGGAAAAAAAGTCACAGGACAAAAAGTCAGACACAAGTCTTACCGAATGCGATATTAATATCCTTATAAGGAAAACGACACAAAACTTTGATAAGACAGATAATACTGTATAACCATTTCCAAATTGAACAGTATTTACCGATTCGCAAACCAGATATCAAATATCGTGTAATGCTATTTTTGATATTGTACCACGTCATAGGTTCCAAGAAGAACTGAGTTTGAGTGTATGGGAAAGAGCGAGAATAGAATTGGTGTATATCAGAAATCTTAAAGAATGGATGGTATCTACTGGAAACAAGTTAAATCCAATTTTAGGTATTACATTCGTTACTATATGATTGGAGATGATATATTTCATAGTATAGTTACCAAATATTTCATAAATATAAATTTCTTTCCTAATTAGCTAGACTCAAGCTAGCAGCCACTCGCTAGCAGGCAGTTTTCAGATATGTCTATAAACTCAAAAGTTGCATAAGACTCAAATGTTTTTATATTATATATAACGCTTTTTAATTAACAGTCGAAGACACTTAAGGATGAATTTAAAGGGGCATTAGCTACGAGATATAAAAAAAATAAAATATGATTTCTTTTGTTCAATCATTAATGAAAGTGAAATAGTGAAACAATAATTCACTTTTAGCAGCCAATTTGATTCAATTTTGTCAAAATAAGCTAAGAAAAATCGCTGATTAATTATTCACCTGCAAGTAAATAATTCGACCTCATTGAATCCGTATTCATGTGACCTTCAATTTAACCCCTAACTGGACATGGATTACGCATGTATTCAGCTATTAAAAGGAAAAAAATGTCAACACTGAAATTGAAACAAGGATGAACCATTTAAGTGACTAATTTGATCCACCAAAAATCATTCTTATACAGGTAAAAATGATGATAAACATACTTTTAATCTACAATATGAAATCAAACAGACTAAGAAAAATCCAATTGCACGTGGTCACTATCTGTTTATATTTATATTCATGTTTATATCGGGTTATATGACCGTCGGCAGTCTTCGGAGGTCATCTGGATGGTTAATTAGATGGCGTCTAGACAAAAATTCACACGAAATGTTGATACATATTATCGAGTCCATGCATTGCTAATTGTTTATTTTAGACTTTTTTTTAATTTGGATATACGTTTTAGTGTGTTATAAATCAAGTTTGAGAATTTGAGTCAAATCGGAGAACATGAATTTGACAGCTAATGTCCCTATTTAAGGAGCGGATCCATGTCTTTCTGAAGGAAAAAAAGGGTGGGTGGGGTATTGCCAAAAACGATATATATATACCCCCGAATAAGAAAAATTGTTGGACGATTTTATGCAAAAAAAAATGATATTTTTTCCGTTCAAAGGAAAAGGGGCGGGGTGGCGTACGCCTTCCATGCCTCATCTGAATCAACCACTGACTTTTACATTTTCATTTCTTGATCAAGAATTAACAAACAATTGTATGTTTTATCAGCACATCGCTCTGCACGTTCAAAGAGCGAGCAATTAATTAAAACAAAATATAGGACACTGCGAAAGGGGAGACATAAGGAAATTCTCTTTTGAAACACAATGTGAAGCAGCGTTTTTCTTTGACAATTGAACCTTAAGAAGCATGGACATGTGGAATCAAATTTTGTGAAAAATCGTATAAAGATAATATGATTAACCTCCTATTAAAACTTAATACTTTAGAGTAATTAAAATATTATCAAATAATGTACTTTAAACGTAGAGCGCATAAACTATCTGTGAAAACATGTCAAAACTAAAAGAAATTATATTCTAATCTTTGATAGACTGGACAAGAAAATACGGGTTGGCATGCAACTGCTACATGGCATTTTATCACGCACTAATAGAGTTAGATTAGATAATTTTCATTGATATTCACAGAATGATCAAATCTTGTCTCATAATCCAATATTCAGGATATATTGTAACATCTTTGTGTTTTTGTTTTAATGTTTTTTAATATATTTAACAAAAAACTTCTACCTAAAATTATTTGACGCCATTATTGTTACAGAAAAGGCAAAATATTGTCCTGATGAAATGGTAGTAAGGAACTTAGTGAAAGAAGCATTATGCACGACAGAGGTCCATCAAAATGTCCATAATGCTATGATGTGTTCTGATGGACCATACGCAACTTTACAAAGGTATAGTTATCAATATTTTGTACAGGTCTGATGGAACATACACAACGTTACAAAGGTATAGTTTCCCCTATTTTGTATGGGTCTGAAGGACCATACACAACTTTACAAAGGTACAGTTTCCACTACTAGTATTTTGTATAAGTCTGATGGACCATAAACAACTTTACAATGGTATAGCTTCCACTATTTTACATTGGTCTGATGGACCACGCACAACTTAATTTTCCACTATTTTGTATAGGGTTGATGGACCATACACAACTTTACAAAGATAAATGTTCCCCTATATTGTATATGTCTGATGGACCATATACAACTTTATAAAGGTATTGTTTCCCCTATCTTGTATAAGCCTGATTGACCATTCACAACTTTACAAAATAATATTTTGCCCTATTTTGTATAGGTCTAATTGACGATACAGAACTTTACAAAGGTATAGTTTCAACTAATTTGTATAGGTCTGATGGCCCATACACAACTTTACTTTCTACTATTTTGTATAGGTCTGATGGACCATACACAACGTTAAAAATGTACATTTTCCACTATTTTGTATAGGTCTGATAGATTGAAAGCTCGAATCAAAGTTCAACTGATAGATAAATCAGTAGATTTAGATTTCAGTCATAACACCTCCAAATGGATTACGTGTAAAACACAATTTACGGTAAAACATGCGTGACCTTGAGGATTGGAAAGATGTAATGCAAATGTGTTGAAAACGGGGACTGTGTCTTTAATCGTTCATTAAATATTGATAAAATGACGAGGAAATATCGACAGATTTTAGAACATCGTTATAAGATAACCTTTATGAATTAGTTTGTTGAACAAACTTTTGAATTTAAGTTTTAGCGCATTTAATCAAAATTTACGAGCTTCATTAACATTATTAAAACTATGGGCACTGTGAGGAAAACACACAAAATGATATACGCCTCCAGAAATAATGTCCATGCTTTGGCAAGGGAAATCACCAAAATGATTCAGATCAAAAACAAAATAGGAGGTGTACAGTAATATTTATAGTTAAGATTGTGAGAAAGTTTCAATAAATTGTAATAAGAGGTTTTGGAGAATTGAGGATACAAAATGGATAACCCCAAGTTAAAGCAATGACAAAGTTCCAGCTTTGGTAAGGGACACCCCCCAAAAAGAATCGATAAGAAATAGGAGGTGCACAATAAATAGCATTATATTGCTAAGATTGTGAGAAAGTTTCAAAAATCAAAGAGGTTTACAAGGGATACAAAATGGGTAATCCCCCAAATGTGAACTATATTGTGCAGATATGACTGAGTCCTTGCCATCCAAAAATATACCCCCCCCCCCCCAATAAATCATTCAGATGAAGAAATGAAATAGGAGGTGCAAATGTTCAAATTATTCTGATAAAGTAGTTTAGGAGCAGTTGTGGATACAAAAGTGGGACAGAAGGGCGGACGGACATACTCCCCATCATATTCCGCTGCTTAAGAAAACAGGGGTATGATAATCATTTTGGTGATATGCCATCTGTATTAAGGTTTCTAAGTGACAACCTACAAAATTCTACGAAATAATATTTTTATGGTTTTCAGTAATATATGTTATAATTTTGTTTCCCTTTTAGTATAGAATTTCCCTTTCGAAAAAAAGATATAGTAATACACCAAGGAACAATTCCCATCTTTTTGTTTTAAGTTGAATGCGAGACAATTCCCAAGGATCAAAAAATGTAGTTAAAGAAAAAACATCATGAAGGCAACGTTTTAAGACTGGATTTATACATATTTCTAGAGAATGTCGATTTAGTAAAAGCCATAAATCGACTACTTAACTCCAGAAACAAAAGAGTATGTCTCTAATCTTTAAAAGAGAAGAGAAAGATACCATAGCGATATTCAAACTCAAAAGTCGAAAACAAAATGACAATGCCATTGTAAACTAAACCCCGAAAAACGGGCAAAAGACAAACAACAGTACACAACACACAACATAGAAAACGGCCAAAAGACAATCAACAGTACACAACACACAACATAGAAAACGGCCAAAAGACAAACACCAGTACACAACACACAACATAGAAAACGGTCAAAAGACAAACAACAGTGCACAACACACAACATAGAAAACGGCCAAAAGACAAACAACAGTGCACAACACACAACATAGAAAACAGCCAAAAGACAAACAACAGTACGTTAAACAACATAGAAAAATAAAGACTGAGCAACACGAACCCCACCAAAAACAGGGAGTTTCAGTTGTTATATCAATATATTCAATTTATCGTAGAGCTGTATTTTTATTTACCTATACGGATTTTTTTTTCAATACCTTTGTATATTATTATCTTGTTTTGCAGGGGAATTGGACTAAACAAGATAACTAAAAACTCAAAAGAAAGGCTTCTGTCTGAGATAGAAAAGGAGTTCTATATGTTTAATAAAAAGAGAACACAGTACGAATCTGATATTAAGAAAAGGAAAGTGGTAATGATAATACTTTTTTCATTTTTTTTTGGCTGGTCAGTTTTTTAGCTCACGTGGTTCAATGGGCCAAGTGAGCTTTTCTCATCACTTTGCGTCCGTCGTCCGTCGTCGTCGTCGTTCGTCGTCCGTCTCCGTCGTCGTCCTTTAACTTTTACAAAAATAATTCTCCTCTGAAACTACTGGGCCAAATTTTACCAAACTTGGCCACAATCATCATTGGGGTATCTAGCTTAAAAAAAGTGTCCGATCGACTCCGATGACCCCGCTTGCCAACCCAGATGGCCGACATGGCTAAAAATAGAACATAGGGGTAAAATGCAAGTTTTGTCTATTATTTTGAAAACCGTTATAAATAGAGAAAATCTGACTGGAGCAGAAATGTTTGGAATGTTGAGCTCTACCAGTTGTCTATATACGTCAAAACTATCAGACGACTTTTTATAGGAGTTATTGCCCTTTAGGATGTACTTAGGTCAGGTTTAGGAATTTGTGTCTGATGTTCGGACTTCTTGGTTTTTTCCCTACAATACAGGGTAAAATATTTTGATTATTATCAATATTATAATATCCATTTTTCTTTTCATATAAGACTTCAATAGCTCATAAAAGGTCATTTACCAAAATTTAAGCAGATTATAGATTTCTTTTCTTTCGATTTGAGACCCAAATAGTACTAATGCAAATATAAGGTAAAAGTCCGAGTCAGCCTTTTTCCGCCATTTTAAAAAAATCAAATATCTCGACAAGGAGCTCCATAACCTATCAATATTTTTAGCTTATTTTGTTCCGTAACTAATGATCTTTCGACTTATAGTATCAATTTTAAATTTTAGATTTTTTTAATTTCACCTAAGTACATCCTTAAATGACAAATTTTACCATTTTTTTTTCATTTTTGCTCATTATTTTGACAACTATAATAGATAGAGAGAAACTTTAAATTGCAAAAATGATCAGCAAGACAAGTTCTCTACAAATATGTCAATGGTCGAAATCGTCAGTCGACTCCTTATTAGAGTTATTGCCCTTTGATGACGATTTTTACCATTTTTTTGCGTTTTTTACCTTATAATAGATAGATAGAAACTTAAATAAGCAAAAATGATCAGCAAGACAAGATCTACTATTAAGACAATACGGAGGAAATCGTCCGATGACTCCTTATTGGAGTTATTGTCCTTTAATGACGATTTTTACCATTTTTTTTGCGTTTTGCCTTAAATGATAAAAATTATAATAGATAAATAGACACTTTAAATCACAAACATGATCAGCAAGGCAAGATCTACTAACAAGTCAAATTTTGCCAAAAAGTTAGTAGACTGTCACTCTTTATAGGAGTGATTGTCCTTAAATGAGGATTTTATTTACCCTCTTTTGTGTTTTGAGCAAAAACTAAAGAAGATAGAGGGAAACTATAAACAGACTAAAAGATCAACAAAACAGAGATTTTTGTCATTAATTCTGTTCTCGTCTACAATGTTGGAGAGTGTCCTTTGTTTAATATGCACATAGACCAAGGTGAGTGACAAAGGATCTTTAAACCTCTAGTTTTTAGATACATTTTTTTTGGCTTTTTTGTCATTTATGGAAGTTGTTATATTCAGTAATAGCAGTCCTACTACAAGAAATTGTTATAATTTGCTAAAGTTGGCTTATTTGCAGAATACTGAAAAGATGAAATCGTCTATTATTGAACTGGAAGAACAGTTGTCCAAACGAAGTCGTATTGCGCATGTACGTCGGTCTACACGTGCCAACAGAAAGGTAGATCATCTCACTAACAGACTATCAATGCTTAGAAAACAAATTGAAAGTGAAAAATCTATGGTGGAGAAAAAACAAGACGCTTTGAGTGAATTTATGTCCAGCATAAACACGGTAATTTCTCTTCTAGTTAAAAGTTTTTAGTGTATATTGAAGAGCAAATGATCTAAGGTTTAAAAATCTACATAGTTTGGCTTTTTGAAATCAGTTTGAAAAAAGACCAATAAATCAAGTTTCGAAATAAGTTGACATAATCAATGCGGTATTATGCAGGAGGGCCTAAATGGTGGAGGTGTTAGAGTGGTCGGGAGGGCCTAAATGGTGGAGGTGTTAGAGTGGTCGGGAGGGCCTAAATGGTGGAGGTGTTAGAGTGGTCAGGAGGGCCTAAATGGTGGAGATGTTAGAGTGGTCAGGAGGGCCTAAATGGTGGAGGTGTTAGAGTGGTCAGGAGGGCCTATGGTGGAGGTGTTAGAGTGGTCTTTATTTCCTTATTCTTTTGTTTTTCTCTTTGTATTTTAGCATCAAGTTATTGTATTCTCCTTGCTTTTTAAAACACTTTTCTCTGTCTTTATTTTTTTACCCGTTATTCTCCAACCTGTAAACCCCATCTAGACCCTCTTGCAGAGCTTTTCTATCTTTTTTTTCATATTGAGTCCCTTGCGACTTATGTCATAAATTATGATTTTATTGAGTGGATTGAATTATAAACCCCCGTGTTTGAAAGTACAACCAAGATGAAGAAAATTTTGTCAAATGTCTTCTATTACAGGATATGAAAACATTATATATAGAACTCACAGAACTCCAGACAAAAAGAATGCAGTTGCTTTATTCTCAACTAACAAAGTTTGGTTGTGCGTTCAAAGAGTTTAATCATGGTAACAAAAAGTAAGTGTTGACAGAAACAGTATGTATATTACTTTATATCAGCTCATTCAACGTATATTCCTATCAATCATAATCTCGTTAACACGCGCTTTTACAATTAAATGCCTCTAATTGATGCATTTCTTAATCTCGTGAGAGACACGCGCTCTAAACTTCAATGCCTCTAGTTGATGGGTTATTCTTATAAAAATTCGCAAAGACGTTGTGAAATGTAAGGAATGCTGTTGTTGTATCCGTTAGAGTCTGTCTATCAATACAGGAAGAATGAAGAAGTTGGGTACACATCAATGAGACAGAAACCCAACAATACAAAACATCAAAGGTCATCTAGAGGTTATAACACACTGTCTTGCCTGTACGTATGCGTTAATGAGTAATAATCGATATTCTGTCAGATTTATAAAAATGTTTAAAGGTAAAGAAAGTGGACCTCGAAATGACGCAAAAAGGGATAGATCGTCACAATGTTATGTACTTTAAATATATTTTACCTAAATCATGTCAGAAATATTCCTGGAGATGTCTAGAGAAATTGTAAAGTAAAACCTACTTGTCACTAGAGGTGTTGATGAAATCAAAATCGTTTAAATGAGCTTTCATATACATTTTTGTTTCTTTGCAGGAGGAGAACCGAGATCGGTGAAATGATAAGTTGTTTTGAGTCCATCTGCATAGACGAAATAATAGAACGAGTAAGACAAGATATAGAGGCTAGAGCAAACACAAGAAAGAATGGTCACATATTTGAGTTACAGGTTTACAATTGATATTAACCACATTATTTTAAACTTTAATTATTTATGTTTTACCATTGTGACGGGATTACTTCCCTTCATTAGTAGATACTTAGTCAGCCGTAAGCGGTTGAGCTAAGGAAGTACTTCTTTAGCTCAGTCGGTTAGGGCGCTGCCTTATAACACGGAGGTCCCGGGTTCAAGTGATTTTGTAAGAAGAATCATGCTCTCCGGTTACACCATAAAACTGCACTGTGAAAGAAAATTGATGGCGTAAAATAGCTTATTAATAGTTGCTATTAAGTACCTTAATCACATTGGTTGTGTGTGTTAATGTCGAAACAACATGAAAACGTAACACAACCAATTATGCGAGTTGGGAATGTTATTTTTAATAATTCACAGAAATTCACTTGTTTCGTGAAACTTATCTGAACAAATTTATTTAATTGATTTTTATGTTAAATTATAATAGACAATTTGACTTGATTAAAGGTTGGAAATGAGGCTTCTTCGACAAATTGTATCTCACTTTTTCTTGCAGAGGGCGAGTAAAAAGAGTATTAACAAAATAGTAATGCTCGGCTGAATGCAAAAGTGGAGACAAAAGGATGTTATATACATTTACTAAATTTAATTTCTTTATTGTTACCTACATAACAACTACCAATAAGATCAAAACAAATATTTAAAAGTATATTACCATGATGAAGACGAATTGGTGTTTAACATCCAGCAGCAAATATTACATGCATATGAGGACGAGAATGAAGCCTGCTTTGGAAAAGACCGATACATTGGGTCGGATTTTTAACATGCATGCTAGTTCACAAGGTTAGAGTGCACAGGAAGACATTTCTTGGGCACACTATTCTGACTCCGAGTCCACTAGTATTTGTCTTACCCCTAAATACCTTGTGCTTAACGGAGAAGCAGCAAATTCATAAATTCCAAGTCTTTGGATCGAACCCACAATCTCTCACACATTAGACGACTGCGCTACCACGAGACCACCGGGAATATCGAGTACATATACTGCTGATATGAATTAGATATGTTTCGTATATATGTAGAAATATATGTTAAAATATACTTTTTCACCTTTTTGGTCTTTTGGAAAATGTTGTTTGTGTTGTATTTAGACCCCTCTACCAAGAAATTTGTTTTGCATGCACACGTAAAAAAAATGCGGTTTTTATCCAACGCAATCATATGTTTGAACGTTGAAGATTTAACATTGTTGTGCTGATATTTAGAGTAAATATGAATATAATATGTGTTTTCAGCCGTGCATCACCTATACTGGTGATCCAATGGATGGATCTGTCGTAGAGATGTCAGTTGTTTAGACGTACTTATCAAATAATTATTTCTGTGAATGCATCTTACGATCCTTTACGACAGATAATTTAGCTAATCTGCAATCAATTCTATCTTCATGCCTAATATATCATGTACTGTGTTATAACTCTAGATTCTACTAACGAGGAAAGGTAACACTAGGCCACCGAAAGCAGAATTTTTATTTCAGTCTAGGTGGCCGAGTGGTCTAGAGCGCTGGACACAGTGCGGTGCTGTCACGATATCTAAATAGCATGAGTTCGAAACCTGGCGAGGGAAGAACAAAAATTTGCTTCCGCATATTTGCATATTTAAAATTGCTGTGCTGATATTTAAATTATGAATATAATATGTGTTTTCAGCCGTGTATCACCTTCACTGGTGATCCAATGCGTAGAGTTGTCACTTGTTTAGACGTATATATATATATCAAAACAACGTTCAAACCTATGATTACGTTGGATAAAAACCGCAATTTTTATACGTGTGCATTCAAAACAAATTTCTTGTTACAGGGGTCTAAATACAGCACAAACAACATTTTCCAAAAGACCAAAAAAGTGAAAAAGTATATTTTAACAAAACGCATTTGACTAACAGGTCGAACAACAGATGTTCTTAAACCCTGCTGACTGCCATTGGCGCTTGCCAAATAAACGGATCACCCGATGTAATAAATGGATCTTAATTATAAATTTGATACTAAACAGAAAACAAGAAACTTGCGGAGAAGATGGTATACAGCAAACAAAAGATGCAAAGGTTTTTGTACACCATATCCGGATTATAATTACTCTAAATATCAGCACAACAATGTTAAATCTGCAAATTTGCGAAAGCAAATTTTTGTTCTTCCCTCGCCGGGATTCGAACTCATATATACATTAAATAGACTTTTAGGTCCAGTTGTTCCAGGAGACGTTCGCATAGATACAATACACAACGTTGGCTGTGATATACTAGTAGACATAAAGTCATTTGATAATTGTTCCATGTATAGAAGCAAACAAGGTTTTAATGTATAATGGTATTGTTAGGTGAATCATGCAGTCTTTTATAACTGTATATACATGTACATCGATAATACATATGTATATATTAATAAGATTACATACATAATTTGTCTTCAATGTTTTTAAACGTCATGCATTGTTTCTGTAGGAAATGTTCAGTCCTATGAAAAACCACATGGAGTCAAGAAAAGACGCCGCTCTCAGGTATGGTAGAATATATATACATGTATGTATGTTATATAACTTTCTACAGTTCAAAGAATCTCAAAAGTGCATTAAAAACAACAAATACGACATTCAAAGGAAAACGAAGGTAGAATCACTGCATTTTCCAGACTTATTAAGAGCAATTCTCTGTAACCACCAGCCATTTCATATAGGGGGGGGGGGGGGGGGGGGAGTCTGCACGCATAGTCACCGATTTTCCTGAAACTTAGCCTGGCCATATAATTAGGTGAAAAAGTAAGAAAAATGCCTCCCAAAGTGTTGCTAGGGCATGGTTGCCATGGCAACCAAGTCAATGAGTTATCTCGTACATTTTGATGAATTTAGCATTGCAAAAACAACTACTTTGCAGGCATTTTGAAGCAAAACCAGATTTTATTTAATGATATTTGTTAATATTTTTCAGAAACATGGTACTAAACAAACATAACAGCAATGTCATATATAAAAAAATATTTTGGCTGAATATTGTCACAACCGCGGGAGCAGAGGTCATTTTTTATTGTATTTCTTGAGACAAATTATACACATTAAGCATGAACAAAATATACAGTTTTGCATCCACCTCTATTTGAGTTGTGGTTATAAGTATAAAGTATTAATGTCTTTAGTCAATAATTTACAGACTTTGACCTTTCGTATATTAATTGAATTTTGTAAGAAAAGATAATAAAACATGTAGAAAGAAGCAAACAATATAAGAATGAGATGTTTAGGATGGTTAAAGATACTGTTTTGTTTACAGGTCAACAGTAAGAAGTCAAGGTTTTGCTTCACAACCACCCTTATTTGATACAAAAGAACCTAGTAACCATATATGTTTTGATTCAGGACTTTATGGGTTATTACATAGACCCAACTTAAAAGGTCAGGGGTGAATGATATCACACTAGTCCTTAGCAACCATTCATTTATAGTGTAAAAGTGCCTGCAACCATAAAAGTGTCAAGCAACAATATATTTTCAGTTTCATTGAGACAAAAATCAGAAAAAAATTGATATCAAACATGTCGTTTTCTTTAAATTAGTAATCCCTTTGAAGGAAGAACACCCATTATATGTACCGAATTGTTGAATTACACTAACCTGATTGTACACATGCATAATCCAGAATAATTTATTATATCGAAAATTTAATTTCAAGGTTGAAAAAAAATAAGGGTTTGATAACAAATCCAAATACAAAAATAATATGTGGTATGGTTGCCAATGAGACAACTCTCCACAAGACACCAAATGTTATGTTTAAGAAAGGTCCTTTGAATCTACAAAAAACTAGGCAAAACGAACAAAATTGCTTAAAAAACGACCATTTTATTTCTTTTATTAGGGTTGGGCTTTTGAGCTAGATGTTTTGCGTGGACAAAATAATCATTTTCATCCGTTTTAAAGCTGGATTACTAAATCATTTTTTTTCGTCGAATAAAATATTTTCCGTTGTGTACACACCTTTTTCTTTTTCCAAATCGTATGTGCATCTGAATGTACAGAAAATTCATTTTCAGCATGTCTTGGGCAAAGTTATTGACACCATCACATTAATTTCATTCAGCATCCCTCATCCCAATCACAAAATATAGAATGGTCCTTCCCTAGCTAATAGAACTACTCTGAATCCGCTCAATTTCTACTTTTATATTCTGTGGAGAATATAAAAAAATACTCCTTCTTAAAATCAAAAACATTGTGTGTTCTGCAATTTTTTTTTCATGTAGATTTTATCTAGGTGTTCACATTATCTCTCTATCTTTATAGTTTTTAAGCTAATTGTAAAATCTCAAAATTTTGCAAAAAAAAGAATTCGGTCAATGACTGCTAAAGAAAGTTGATTGACAATTTCAGCAATGTTAACCCATTGGTGGGTGAATCTTATCTCCAAGCTCATTTTAGCTGTATATTGCCTCTCTTTACCTGCCGTATATTGCATCTCTTTACCTGCCGTATATTGCCTCTCTTTACCTGCTGTATATTGCCTCTCTTTACCTGCCGTATATTGCCTCTCTTTACCTGCCGTATATTGCCTCTCTTTACCTGCCGTATATTGCCTCTTTCTACCTGCCGTATATTGCCTCTCTTTACCTGCTGTATATTGCCTCTCTTTACCTGCCGTATATTGCCTCTTTTTACCTGCTGTATATTGCCTCTCTTTACCTGCCGTATATTGCATCTCTTTACCTGCCGTATATTGCCTCTCTTTACCTGCTGTATATTGCCTCTCTTTACCTGCCGTATATTGCCTCTCTTTACCTGCCGTATATTACCTCTCTTTACCTGCTGTATATTGCCTCTCTTTACCTGCCGTATATTGCCTCTCTTTACCTGCTGTATATTGCCTCTCTTTATTTGCCGTATATTGCCTCTCTTTACCTACTGTATATTGCCTCTCTTTACCTGTTGTATATTGCCTCTCTTTATCTGCCGTATATTGCCTCTCTTTACCTGCTGTATATTGCCTCTCTTTACCTGCTGTATATTGCCTCTCTTTACCTGCCATATATTGCCTCTCTTTACCTGCCGTATATTGCCTCTCTTTACCTGCCGTATATTGCCTCTCTTTACCTGCTGTATATTGCCTCTCTTTACCTGCCGTATATTGCCTCTCTTTACCTGCTGTATATTGCCTCTCTTTATTTGCCGTATATTGCCTCTCTTTACCTACTGTATATTGTCTCTCTTTACCTGCCGTATATTGCCTCTCTTTACCTGCCGTATATTGCCTCTCTTTACCTGCTGTATATTGCCTCTCTTTATTTACCGTATATTGCCTCTCTTTACCTGCCGTATATTGCCTCTCTTTACCTGCCGTATATTGCCTCTCTTTACCTGCCGTATATTGCCTCTTTTTACCTGCCGTATATTGCCTCTCTTTACCTGCCGTATATTGCCTCTCTTTACCTGCCGTATATTGCCTCTCTTTACCTACTGTATATTGCCTCTCTTTACCTGCTGTATATTGCCTCTCTTAACCTGTCGTATACTGCCTCTCTTTACCTATAAACATTTTCAAGGACAACAAAAAAAATAATGACAGTTTCAGTTATGTCAACGTATTTAAACTCTTTTCTCGTTGGTCTGTTTTTCTGAAAATATATCTCTATCTATTATAGTTCTTAAATAAAACCCTAAACGCAGAAAGGGCAAAATAATCATTATTTAAGGACAATAAATGTTAAGGAGTTGATTTCCAATTAAGTTATATTAACTTATTTGTTGATCGCATATGGCTGATTTATTTCAGCTAACATTTTCTTCAAATCTATAATACTTTTCAAGAAAATAGCCAAAAAAACAATCATTATGGGTAAACATTGTTATTATTTTTCCCCGGTGTATTTATTTTTTATTGGCAATCTATACAATAGCCATTATAAAGTGAAGTTTCTAAAACAATAGAACCCAATCTATACGATGCCACTCCAAAATTCAGTCTCTAAAACAATAGCATAACTCATTTTTTACAATACCACTACAAAATGTAGTTTTTAAAATAATAGCATGAATCAGTCTATTATATGCCTTTACAAAGCGAAGTTTCTTTTTTTTGTACAGTCTATTTATTTATTTTTTGAATGACAATTTGTTGCACCTGGGACTTACATGAATAATACAGTCTCTTGGTCCAAGGTTGTCTATTCCTTCATTTCTTTTCAAATATCAAAGACTACAAACTAATTTTATTTTTTTAAAGAAAACCATTATTAATTTTTATTAATGCTTATTGTATTTCGATACTATGCGAATAAAAGTCTTTAATGTGTTCATCAAAAGAAACATTTTGTTTTATTGTGTATAACAGGAGTGATTTATATTGTACAGTGTGCAAATGATTACTTGTTTTACCTAGAAATATAATCTTCATACTACAAGTATAACGATAAAATATTGATATAATTTGCAATAGAATAGACATGTATTAATATGTACTATATTTTTTTGTTTGTTTTTTTTTAGTTTTTTTTTGTGAATAATATCTTTTATTTCAAATCACTTGGATACATAAACCCTAAGCAGTTCAGGACAGCTGACAGAGGGGTCCCTGCTTTTATTTTACATATCCCTTTTGCCAGGGAAAACACACATGGGTGAAAAAATACTCTAAAAAATTACCTAATATATTCAATATAAAAACCAGTATCTGTTTTCAATTAATTAGTGTATTAGTGTATTCTACACACCTTGAAATCTTGCATTTTCATATAAATTTATCCTTTTTGAACCATTTGACCGCCTCGGTGGAGTCGTGGTAGCGTGTTCGCCTCGAGTGCAGGAGGTCGTCCGTTCAATCGCCGGCCAGGTCAAACAAAAGACTTTAAAATTGGTATTTGCTGCTTCTCCGCTAAGGACGCGACATTAAGGAGTGAGAGCAAAGACTGGTCGGCTCGGAGTCAAAATAATGTGTCCGGGTAAGGTGACATGTTTTCCTGCGAAGTGTTACCTTGTGAACTAGCACGTTAAAAATGCGGCTCAGTGTATCGGTCTTTTACAAAGCAAGGTTAGTATTCATATTACATTAATATGTTCTCGTCCTGAATTTTCGATAATGATTATTTGTGAAAAAAATGTATGTGCCCTTAATCAAGAAACACAATCTGCGTTGAGTAAAATACTCTTACAAAAAAAGTAATACTTTCATGTAGTATGTAATATATACGGAAGGGTATTACGGCCATCCTTTTTTATTTATTTTTTTCAAATTGTCGACTTTAATTTTGGAATTATCAACTTTATTCTTGGAAATTCCAACTTAAACTTTGGAATTTCCAACTTTAATCTTGGAATTATCAACATTAAACTTGGAAATTCACTCTTTAATCTTGGAATTATCAACTTTAATCTTGGAGTTATCAAACTTTAATCTTGAAATTCCAACATTAAACTTTGGAATTCCAACTTTAAAATTCCAACATTAAACTTTGGAATTCCAACTTTAATCTTGGAATTATCAACTTTAAACTTGGAATTATCAACATTAAACTTGGAAATTCCAACTTTAATCTTGGAATTATCAACATTAAACTTTAAAATTCCAACTTTCATCTTGGAATTGTCAACATGTAACTTGGAAATTCCAACTTTAATCTTGAGATTCCAACATTAAACTTGGAAATTCCAATTTTGGAATTATCAACTTTAAACTTGGAATTATCAATATTAAACTTTCAAGGTATATCTAAAGTCTTGTATAGCTTCACGTAGCCTAATATCCATGAAGGGGGAAGTAACTTCCTATTAATGGGTATACATGGATATGCCAAAAATATGGGTCATAATTTTGCGAGATTTTATATGAATATGACACTACTTTTTAATGACATTATATATTGATATGTGTTGTTCTTTCATAACTTTATATTGATTTGGGGTATGGTCTACATATCTTATATAAATATGTTATTGGAAATCTTATATTAATGGCCAACTGTGGTATTTGAATCAATCAGGAACTTTATATTTACATAAATATAAATAAAGCCCCTGAATCTATGCATTTTATAGTTCACCTTTCAAATTTATTCCCAAATGAACTCCGGAAATTATGAGTGATGATATACATTTAGTGCTTATATTAGCATGGGTCATAATTAAAATATTTTTTTATAGAAAAAGGTCATTCATTGTATGAATATATATAAATATAGGTACCAAATATTAGTGAATGTTATATAAAAATGGTTACAGTAAAGCACATCAAACAGAAGTGCACTGTTTAGCAGAGGCAAGAGTCCAGTTTAATGTTGATAATTTCAAGATAAAAGTTGGTATTTCCAAGTTAATGTTGATAATTCCAAGAGTAAAGTTTATAATGCCAAGATTAAAGATGGAATTTCCAAGATTAAAGTTGATAATTCCAAGATTAAGGTCGACAATTTGAAAAAAAAAGTATAAAAAAGGATGGCCCTAATACGCTTCCGTAAATATAAATATGTATAAAATGTAAACTATAAAATTAACTTATAAAAAAAGTTCAAAGTGCGCCTTTTGTATTCAATGATAATTATAACTAAAATACCGAGGCGCAAGTTATTTCACAAAAATGTATAAATATCTACAAAATGAGCAAAGAATAAGCAAAGAATAAGCAAATTCGACTATTTTAATAGTAATTACAATATTTGAGATAAACGGTCAAGTTTGTCTATTCCGATTAAGTTTTTTTTGTTTGATTTAGCGAGCATTTTGATAAAATTATTCGACATATCTTTCATAAAAATACGGCGGATTGATGTTTCATTATATGCTGTTTTGTTGAATTTAATGGCATTCCGACCTTTCCAAATACTAAATTTTCCCGAAAACACTATAAAATTTCAAATATTTATTTGCGTTTTATCAAGATGTTGATTATATCGAATAAGCATGTTTTGGACATCAAAGTTAAGCGTTATATATCTATGCACAGAGATAGCAATATTTTTATTTCTTCAGTGATGTTTTAAATATTATAACAATATTAGAATATATGCTTTTGGGTTTCAAAACGTTTGCCACATAAGTTACATAGTCAATCAGACTTTCGCATTTTGCACAATTTAAATTCAGTATAATGTACATTGTGTAGTGATTTCCATTGGAATTGGAAAATATTGTTTGATACAGGCAGCTTGCGAAGCTTTTTCCAAATTGATGCCAGTCTAGTTCCGTATTTAATGTTTTATTCCATTTGATTTACATTTTCACTAGTACATTTATTTAGTGTTTTTAAATGATTTTATTGACTTTTTTCTGGGGAAATAAATTTTCTTTCCATATCAGATCATATCTAACTACGCATTGATGATTGCTAGGTATTTTCCAACTATATGAAAATGGCTACTTAAATCTTTAACGATATTGACCTCTCACCTTTCAATAATGATCTATTTAACAGTTATTACTAGTCTGATCCCAAGTATGTATGGTAGCTAGGTACTTTTATATCAAGTAAGGGTCGTTGCTAAGAACTTTTGACATGGCCTTGACCTCTGAAATTTAACCTTGTTACCAAAAAAAAAAAAAGCAATAATCGTTCTGAACATTTTCTCTATTCAAGGTATAGATACAATTGTAACCATTTCTGACAAAATCTAATAAAAAAGACTCAAGGTCAAAGGTCAAGGTCATCAATAACTTTTTATTTTTGGAACAAACTTAAGGTAATTGAATGCGCAACATTTTTCAATTGATTTTCATCCTTTATCTGTATACTTTTTTTTTGCGTTTCACTCATTCTATCCTATGTTGAGGCAATATATTGTCGCCATTTCCTAATGTTGTTGTTTTGGACATTATATCGACCTATTTCTAATTCGAAATTGGGATCTTTCATATATTTAATTTCGGAACTTTGAAAGTAATTTTCATAGTAATTTCACTTATAGTTTATTTAAGAAGTAAGTTTTAACTGTTGTCCATGTTAACATTTTGTTCCGTGAAGGGTTGAAGACTGTATGGTGCCTTTTCGATATCGTTTGGTTTGTTTTGTAGTTGAGTTATTGTGTCATGGACGTATAACCCCCACACCTCCTTTTATTCATCATAGACATAATCTGGTTCAAATAAAATCAACAGATGAGTAGTTTGCAAGAAAAAATGTAAAACAAAGATTATTTTTTACTAGCTGCTACGTTTTCCAACTCTTAAGTAGACATCTTTAATCATTTGACTAGTGACGCCACTTACGAGTCAATCATGGACATATGGAGAAAAGAATCTATGTGAAACAGAAGTAACGCTTAAAGCCTTTATGGTTTTGTAATTTATTTTATCGAATGCCAGTTAAAAAGAGCAGTGGCTATTTAAATTCTATCTTAGGAACACACCAAAAGTTAATATGTATAAATGAACGGTTTGCCGATTACGCCCAACAAATTTGGTTAAAAAGACTTTTTTTTCCTTCTAAGTCGATTGATAAATTGTTCGCTTCGTTTTTTCACAAGCGACTTCAAACAAACTATCGGTATTAAGGCGAAACAAATATGTCTTAATTTGGATCTAAACAATGACAAATTTGATCAAAACCATGATGAATTTCTAGACACTTAACTGAACCATGTCACTCGCTTAACCAAACCATACCAATTTCGATATTTTGGTTATCCTGCGTTAATTTATTAGAAACAACAATTTCAATTTAGATCGTTTGACTTACAATATAGATTCAAACATCTTATTTGCTCTTTATTTGCTCATTTGATAATGAACTGAGGCTATCATTCTGGGAAGTAACCTAACTAATCCATGACCAACTTAACCAAACTATGACAAAATCACTGTTCTAAACGCTCCTCGATATGACGACGTTACTACCCGTGGTTGATGATTGCAAATGAAAGTTAAACGCGTTGAGCTACATAACTAATGCAGTAACGAAAACTCAAACGAGCCATTACTAAATACCCTTTTTCTGCAAGAAACTTTTGTTAAAAAAAGACCTAAAAAATTTATTGCGCATACAAAATAGAAATTTTTCAGTCTGTCACTTTTAGCGCATGTGCACTTCCAAAGCAAGAAAATATCAACAATACGCCAGCAGTTCAGTCGATGATGGGAAGGACACAGACGACTGTAGAGAGCAGCGAAAGTGATAATTTGTTGGTGGGAACATTCTGTGCCTCCTCTTCGGAATCGATAAAAACCAAAGGAATGAATCCTGTCAGATGCCAGCGGTCCGAAAACTCCGGTAAACGTGTACTCACTTGGAATTTTGTAACCAATTAACATACAAGTTGTGTTTCATACGATTTGTATTGATACATATATTTTTGTTAATTGAATGTAGCAAACAAATCATGCACAAATTCCCCGAACCTTTCGTATCTATTTCAGTGAATCACAAATATCCTGAATGACACTATTAGCTTGATTAGGATGCTACATTATGTACATGAACGTATGGATGCCGTTATTTGTTTAACTTTAGGGAGCTACCATTTGATTTTTAATGGGGGCTAGGATGAAAAATTTTGTCCTGCATTTTATTTTTAGTTGTAATCTCTGTCCTGCCTTTTTATTTTTCACTCTATTCGGTCCTGCCTTTTTTATTAGTTTATCCTGACTTTTTTTACATAATTGTCATCCTGCCTTTTTTATTGCGAAGTTGCTCATCCTGCCCTCTTTTTACTCAAAACTCCTGTCCTGCCTTTTTTCAAATTTCATCCTAGCCCCCCTAGAAATCAAATGATAGCTCCCGTACTTGTGTCAATTGTCATTATTTTGTATTATATTCGCAAGGAGTGTCATTCTCATTTAAATAACCTTTACTATAACTCACAGAATCACGGCTTAATGTGTGTGCTTGAAAAGTTCTATCAACACTATATCATATTTTCGAACATTAAATCCAACTATAATTCCTTGCAGTTGACTTAAAACTGCAATTTCGATAGATTTTTGGAACTTTGAATATATTTCTCTCAAATATGAAGAAGACAATATACATGTACTAACCAAAACTAGAATTCTAATGAAAATCAAGCAACGCAATGTCTTTCCCATTCAATATATTTTGGTTTTGGATGTCCTTCGGTCCAAATATCTTATCAGAAATTATTGTTTAGGGCTTTACAAAATTTTGATTTTGAATAATTTTGTACTTAATCTTAAATAATTTAGGCTCATGTGGATATTCAAATCATACAAGGTACTGACTGGCAGATAGAGGACAAAGTTGATTTACCTCTTGTGTTCTTTTTATTTCTGTTAAAGTATTTCCTTACCAGGTTTGAGTACTCAGTAAATCAATCGCGTCCGTAATGAGGTTGTTAAACTTTATATATCTTGCAGATTCGTCGCTCGAATCAAAGATAGAGACTATTGTTATCCCGAATGAACCTGGCAGTGACTGTAAAATGCCACCTCCATTTCCGACAAAGGAGTTCTGTGTAAGTTCTGGTGATGAGGGAAGCTCTTGTATAGAAGAACAACATGAAGCAGGTAGATGGCCCGAGAACACAGTTATTTCGTAGTGCATTTCTTTTAGACAATAAATTCAAAGTAAAAAAATCACACCTGCTCTATCTCAAAAAGATGTTTACAGTGTAGTGTACTACTTTTAGGACAAATAATATAAAAATTATAGAAAAGTGTACCAGCTCTAACTCAAAATATGGACAATTCTATGTTAAGGGGGTCTGTAATTCAGTTTGACAGCTTCAGACATACTAACTTTTTACCTTTTTTAACAGGACCAAATCACTACTTTACAGAAAAATTCATCACCCAAATTTTTTTAACATGTCATTTTATCCCCTTACTTAATATTTCATGCATAAAGTGTAAATGAATAAATTGGGAAAGTGTATGAAAAAAAATTGCAAGTCATACACTGTCCACACTAGGGACTATATTTGTAACGAAAATCAAAGGACGATAACTGTGTCCTCGGACCAAATAAGTCAATATAGTTATACCTATAGTATACATGTAATAAATGATCAAGAAGAAAAGTAAAGCAGAAAAACAATTCTCTTGTAATAGCTATAGCTTTGTTTGTCTTTCATAATTTTTGGGATGCTAGCTGCCTTAATTGACCGAAAGACTCTTAATGTATTATTAGATATATATATTTATTGCGGGAAAATATCATCATTGGCAAGTATCTCATTAAGATTACCAAAAAACGTCATACTTTTGGATTATTTTGAGAGAACGTTGTACCTTTTGATCTGATGTTTTCCAAGAAAAGTCAATAAAAGTCATATTTCTTTAACATGTGATCCGTTTCCACTTCTCTGAATGCAAATACATTTTGTTTCTTTTTATAGTTTTTACTTCAAATAGCTTTTTCCAAATGGATATTTTGCCCCATAATTTTAGATTAAGTTAACCGTATTAAGATCATATAAAGGAGCAAAAACTGTGACTAATAAATAATATAAATATTGGTCCAAGGAAATAAGAACGTTCTTGTATAGATGTAGAAAATTAAACGGAACAAAAGGATTGTAGTATGTTTTTGATTAATCTTTTTTTTTCTAGATGATCTTAGCTGTCGGTGGTCTAATACCAATCAGCGGTTACACACCAATAATACCGACGATGTCAGCATGATCAGAAATGTCAAGGTCATTGCTATTCATGACTTTGTCGCTGGGAAAGGTGATCAAATTTCTTTTAAAAAAGGTATGGTGGTCATACATTTGTAAACTTTATGACGTAATCATGAAATGTAAATTATGTTTTTAATCTTTCATTTAATTTTCTTTTGTTGTTTCTGTCCGCCGTATTTTCCTTTTTTACAAAATAAGAATAAAGAGATGTTTCATGGTAACAAAGGAGACAACTTTCAACCAGATACTATAGGACATGAATGTAAGCAGCTAAAAATCGTCGTACGACCTTCAACACTGAGTAAAACCCATACCATATAATAAGCTATAAAAGTCTCAGGAATGACAATGTGTGAAACAATTCAAACGAGAAAACTAACGGCCTGATTTATGCTAAACCAAAAAAGGAAAAACATATATAGCAGAGAGCGACTGAATCACAGGCTCCATATTTGGCACACGCAAATAAAGATTGTGGTGGATTTACACATGTTTGTGAGAATGCAACCTTCCGCTAACCTGGGACTTTGGTGTAACAGCACAACACAAGAGCAAGCAGTAAACATCTTTTTGAGAGAGCTTGACTCATCAGATAGGCACGAAATACAAAAAAAAAAAAAAACTGATAAAATACAAGACACAAAATACCGATCTTAGAATACTCGCGGTTACTAATAGTTAGTTCAAAGCCAGTTACAACTTCTAAATAAATCATGTTTCCCAGGCTACAATATGATCAATCAGTACACATCCAACGGGTTTAGTGTAAATACGTCAAGGTATTCATAAATGCATAGGAATACATGTTAAGTTACGTTTTAATTTATTATATATCCGTAGGGTATAATGTTTTTGACCCGTCATTCTGTCTGTCCGTCAGTCCGTCCGTCCGTCAGTCCTGTTCTTGTCATCGCAACTCCTCTGAAACCACACAACAGAATTTAATGAAACTTTGTAGGTAATAAGGAAATACTATGTAGATGTGCATATCGACAGGAAATTATGATTCGACTTTTTTTCTTTGAGTAATGCTCCTTTGAACTTAGAATTTTGGCCTAAATATACTACTGCAACAGTTTGTCATCACAACTCCTCTGAAACCACATTACAGAATTTCATGAAACTTTGTAGGTAATAAGGACTTACTATGTAGATGTGCATATCGACAGGAAATTATGATTCAGTTTTTTCTAGGAGTAATGCCCCTTTGAACTTAGAATTTTGGTCTAGATATAGTATTGCAATAGTTTGTCATCGAAACTCCTCTGAATCCACACAACAAAATTACATGAAACTTTGTAGTTAATTCGGACATACTATGAAGATTGCATTTAGACATTGATTGTGCTCTATGCATTTTAATTCATTTTATTTCATTCATATGAAAAAATCTTCTGATATCTTATTTCCCTTTCAGGACAAATCATAAAACAGAAAGTTGGAGAAAACGAAGATGGATTTGCATATGGTTGGGTGCGTGAGAATAGATTGGCGCCTAAACAGTATGGCTGGTATCCTGCTGGAATTGTACAAAGATATGTTCCAACATCAGATCAAAGAAGTTCTGCCAGAAAGGAGTGAACATATTTGGATATTTTCGATCAACATATCGGTCCTCAGTTGCTTCAAAGTCACCTTTACTTTATAAATAATAAAATATGCAGTTCAGTTCAGTTTTATTTTGTTCAGTCAAGATTTTGTTTTTTGCTTTGAAAGTATCACATAAATGTAAAGCGAAAATTTACTGGTTTGATGTGGGTAATCTCGGTACTTAGCAAAAATAAGTCATCGTATGTCATTATAGATGATACCGAATGTCCTTCATTGATTAACTGAAGTTTGCGTGTGGTATACGTATAGCTTCAAATGGAGTTAATTTAATTATACATTGACGGCGAGCGGTAATCCAAAAAAAAAAACATTAGCATGATAGCTAAAAAAAACAACAAGGAATACTGTTTGTGACCACCACTGTGGAGAAATTAATTTTTCGAAAAGTTCCTAGAATATTTTGGTGCATCAATTGATTTTTTGTAATCTGTTTTACTGGTTTAATGTCCCTATTGGTGGACCTAATGGTCCCGAGGGTATCAGTAACCTTATAGTGATTGTTTTACTGGGTTAATGTCCCTATTGGTGGACCTAATGTCCCCGAGGGTATCAGTAGCCTTATAGTGATTGTTTTACTGGGTTAATGTCCCTATTGGTGGACCTAATGTCCCCGAGGGTATCAATAGCCTTATAGTGATTGTTTTACTGGGTTAATGTCCCTATTGGTAGACCTAATGTCCCCGAGGGTTTCAGTAGCCTTATAGTGATTGTTTTACTGGGTTAATGTCCCTATTGGTGGACCTAATGTCCCCGAGGGTATCAGTAGCCTTATACTGATTGTTTTACTGGGTTAATGTTCCTATTGGTGGACCTAATGTCCCCGAGGGTATCAGTAGCCTTATAGTGATTGTTTTACTGTGTTAATGTCCCTATTGGTGGACCTAATGTCCCCGAGGGTATCAGTAGCCTTACAGTGATTGTTTTTACTGAGTTCATGTCCCTATTGGTGGCCCTAATATCCCCGAGGGTATCAGTAGCCTTACAGTGATTGTTTTTACTGGCATGATTTACCATTATTCTGACATTTAAGACTATACTTGTTATTCAGTGATATGCATTGCTAACGAGGACAATTTTGATACAATGCATACTGCAAATTTTACTTCGAATGAACAGACGTCCTCATTCACCGTGAATTAGTTTGTAGTGGCATTTGTGCGAAATTAGAATTTGTAAGAACATATTTATTCTCTTATGTGAGTTCACACCAAATCTTATAGATTAAATAGCCGTCTGCTTTACGTTATATATATATTGTTGGGCTAAATTTTAGACGAGTTATATATATATATATTATGGTGTTAGCCCTGTATAACGACGTGTTATCCGATGGAGAATGTCTGTCACATGTTTAGACATGTAAGATAAAAATTAATATTAATTTACATTATCATCCTTCACGACAGACAAAATAGCTGACCTGAAAGGTACACCATCTACTTGCCACTATACATCATGTATTGTGTTACAACCCTAGATAAAGCCGAAGAGAAAAGGCATTACATCGACCACCGAAAGCTATATATTTAATGTAGCCTAGGTTGTCGAGTGGTCTATGGCGCTGAACACGGTGCAGGCGGTGTTGCCACGATGTCACAGAAGTAAGGGTTCGAATCCCGCATATATATTAGACTTGTTTATATATATACATGTATATACAAGTCTAAATTGAAAACAACGTTCAAACCTATGATTGCGTTGGATAAAAATCGCAATTTTTATACGTGTGCATGCAAAACAAATTTCTTGTTAGAGGGGTCTAAATACAGCACAATCAACATTTTCCAAAAGACCAAAAAAGTGAAAAAGTATATTTTAACAAAACGCATTTGACTAGCAGGTCGAACAACGGATGTTCTTACACCCTGCTAACTGCCATTGGCGATTGCCAAATAAACGGATCACCAGATGTAACAAAATGGACCTAAACTATTAATTTGATACCAAACAGAAAACAATAAACTTCCGGAAAAGATGGTATACCGCAAACAAAAGGTGCAAAAAGTAGTACACCATATCCGGATTTCGACAATTAATGTCTCTTCAGTGATGTTAGGAATCGAAACGGTATTTGGAAGGCCATAAAATTTACCTCAATTTAGGATAGACTCTTGAATTTTGAAGAGTCGAAATAGGATAAACGGATCATATAAACCCGAAGGCAAATATAATACAAGCCCAAACGAAAAAATATAAACAAGTCTAAATTGAAAACAACGTTCAAACCTATGATTGCGTTGGATAAAAACCGCATTTTTTATACGTGTGCATGCAAAACAAATTTCTTGGTAGAGGGGTCTTAATACAGCACAATATATATTATAAAGACTAAAGTTTGCTAATGTGAGGAGTTAATTTAAAACAAGACCAATACCTGGTCTGGATCTGCGTCACTGCATGCAATTGACGGAGATAATATGTATACTGTGACATAACTGATTATTCCCTTTCACTGATGCCAAGAAAACTTTGAAGAACATTTTCCTTGTACAATGAGTGTTGTAGAATTTCAAACTATCGTAAAAAAAGGAGTGGTTACACAGCGGATGTAAAAATTGCTTACTCACTACAACTCAACATCATCAAGCTGCAGACCAAATATTAAATCATTCCCTTCTATATGACCTGAGAAATGTAAATATCGAAATATTGGACATCTCAATTTTTTATAAAAAAAGTTTTTTAACTAATCTTTTTACTATATCAAATTGATACGGGATCAATTCGGAACAGTCACTTATAAAGACACTTTACAGTTAAATGTGTGACCCTATCTGGTATGTTTGGAAAAAAATGTATATTTTTTTTCTTTTTAAATTTTATTTACGTTATCTTATTATATATATATATATATTTTGGCTTCCTCCCGAATTGATAATAGGTATGTCGATGTCGTGTCAGAGCGACACATTCACTTAGTTATCCCAAGGACGCATATTAGATACACGTCCTTGGTTATTACAGTGACATCCTGTCGACTAAAAATTCCTATTACACAATATATTATACAGGTTCATGCATGGCTTCTTAATTGAGGTACCCGACGTGCACAGGTAACATTTATTGAACCACATATATTTGTGTTCGACGTTATTTATCTTGTGCGTGTTTGAAATTATAATTCCACCTGTTAATGAATGATGTTCTGATAATAATATTATCCACTATTTTTGCTGATAATAAGTTTAAAATTTTTATAAATATGATCTTTAAAAAAATTTGTGAAATACATATACTGTTTTGTCATGATTCTGGACCCTTCTTTTGAAAAAAAAAATCTTCACGCAAATGCAAGCTATTGACGATTGGCAAACATGCAGTATAAAGTAATGCAGCACTTATAGTCAGTATCAAATATTTATTTATTGACGATAAGAGAGCTGCTTCTATGTCTAATGTCCCTATCTTTATACGGATTAGAACGACAGGGGAAACAGACACTGTAAAGGAACGGAGATAGAGTGGCATAGTGAAAAAAATTAACCGATTAGAAAAAACTATGCTACATAGAGAATGATCGACGAAAAGGGTAATAGTTATTGTAAAGGAAAAGAGATAACGAGAGGCATAGTAAAAAAATGTTTGCTAGACAAAGTTACTGCTCGCTTTGATGTTTTTATACAAAATCACTCATCGTGTTCCAAATTGGTATTCACGTGCGCTAACTTGATGTGTTAAGTTTCTGCATACTCGCGGCATGGTTAAAAATAATTAAGTATCCCATTTGTTATATCGTAGTGTCACTGTGTTTCTTTGTTCAATTTATTTAGTTTGTTAATGATTATGTAAATAAGAATAAATCTGTATAAAACTTCATACCCGTTTAGTTATTGCCTGTAGGCGTTTCATTATTGTTACATTTAATATATACATAGAATCTTTCATACATCTTAAAGTAAAAGATGTGTGTCTTGAGTCAAACGGCGACATGAGAAGCCTGTATACAGTACGACTCGAGTATAGCATGTAAAAATCCTACTCAATATGGTTGTATTGGAAATCTTTTCATACAGATAGATAACTCATAGTCCGACATTTATGTAATATTTGCCACATGACGCTCATATTTCTTTCTACTATCATCATCTTATTCATTAAATATTGCTGTAAACATCGATGGTTCACACCCAAACCAAAATGGGGGTAATATACCTTTAGAGCTTCTCCGTGGTATACACTTGTCACAAATATATAGACGAAATTCGTTATTGAAGTGAATCTACATCTCACAAACACCATTTTTGAATTACGATTTTGAGTGAACACCCAACAAACCAATACAAAATGGCAAGATATAACCATGCAGGCATTTAGTTTTCGTCAGACACAAGATAAATAATACGCTCATATTGCTTTCTACTATCATCATCTGCTTCATCAAATATTGCTGTTAACAACGATGGTCCACACAAAAAAAAAGGAATTATATACAATCAGAGCTTCTCAGTGGTATACACTTGTGAAATATATAGACGGAATTCGGTATTGAGAAGTGAAATTACATCTCACAAACATTATCTTTGAATTACGAGTTTGAGTGAACACACACCATCCCAATTAAAACGTATAGCAAGATACATAACCATGCAGGCATTAAGTTTTCGTCAGGTACAAGATAAACGAAATAATCGCTCTCATAAACGTACATGCATGCAGTTTATGATATCAAGAATAAGAGGTCGATGTCTGTAGATCATTGTTCAGTTCGTTTACTGACTGTTCAGAGTCAGACATGTCACTTATTCATTCTTGGAAGCATTCGTGTACCCCATCCGACGATAGGAACTCTTTTCCGATAGTGTTGACAACTATGCTTGTATGGTGATTCTGTTTTTCTGGGCAAGTGGTTGGCCTCCACTGACCCAACAAACAAACGAACGATACGCTATTAGTCTGCTTTGTCCTTTAGAAAGAACATCTGGAGCTCGTCTTCAACGGCGCTTATACCTCAGGAAAAGTATACTAGTAGAGCTTGTTTCAAGGAGACGAACTGTTCTAAAATCGTCATTGTCTTCAATAATACATTACTAAGCTATGCCATTAATTA